ACTGTTGTAACATCATCCACACTTTCCATAATGTTTAATTACCCTCTCTCTTCATCCCCATAATTTGTCTAAAATGTGTTTGTTAGACTGCTAATATAACCACATCCTTCCCCCTTTTCTGCTACATAATTTCTTAAATGTTATTTTCTACCTCTCCTCCCTTAGGCATCCATAGCTCACAGTGAGCCATGCTAAACTTGACCTTTTTGGAAATGCTACAGAGCCTGTAATTTTGATGAGGGCTATATGCAGCAGCACGAATCTCATTGTAGAACCTTACACATCATGTGAGAAAAAAATATTCAAAGCCTAAGGACAAGATGTAACATTTTCCAGTATTTCAAACCTATACAGAATGACTGATGACAAATTTAACAAGTAATTGTTTGTGTCAGACAATATGACAACTATTGAGCAAACAGCTGTTACTCCAGATGGAGTAGCTATGACAGCTGGTGGGTCCAGGTGCATCGCTCTGGAATAAACCAACAGAGCACTGGCATGTTCATTTATTCATGGCTGTTTTGGTGGCACTTCTACCAGTTTATTGGATACTATCCTTTCAATCCTTAAGAAATCATTTTTGCATGATGATGTATTAATGTGTTGATACCTCAGTAAGGTGGGAGAGATACCATTGAGATTACCAGTAGATGAGAATTCAGAGCAGAATCTGCTATAATTCCTTTGGTGTATTCACTTACATTTTGTAAAATCTGGCTACAGGAGATGCTTGCTTTTCCTGTAGATTTTCTTTTAGATTTCTTATGTTATTCAGGAGCAGAAATACTGTTTTACTTATTCACTTATTCACTTGTTCACTTATTTTGTATCCTCATTTTCCTGACTAGAGCATTGTGCCAGGTAATTCAATGGTTGAACTGTTATGGATGGAATATTTACTGAGAACTGAACTGGGATCAATAAATGCCATATAGGTCCATGAATGAGTTGGATTGATTGAAAGTATAAGTGTGTAAGGTTCTGCAACCTATTATCGGTACCTTGAATTATCCTCTTATTTGATTTTAGTGCCTAAGAAGAAAGTGTATCTCTCAATCTTCCTGGGAAATCAACTTGAAATAAAAATCCAAAGGTCATTTATGAAATTCTTCATGTTTCTGGCTCAGTTGGTCTGCATGGTTCTTTAGACAATCTTCATATTCTTAAACCTCTTTTCAAGAGAATGGCAATGTGGAAGAACAGTACTCCATTTTTTCTCTTGGATATAAACTCTGTAGGAATTCAGGAACAGTTTTTAAGGTATAGTAATGGCTTTTTAGTTAAAAAAACAAAAATGCTGTTCTTCATAACTTACATTTTGTGTTCCCACCAGGCTTACTGATGTATTTTTAAAGATATCCCTCATTGGCAGACTAGTACAGCCACTGGAGTTAATGATCAGATTTAATGTTCATTGATGAAACAGTATTTTGATTGCAGCAATGTGGTTTGATTGAAACTTTTATTGGGAATGAGAACCCATGCTATTGAATAGTTTATAAGAGCAGTAAAAATGTGACAGGAAGATTCACATGCTTTGTGTTACAAGAAGTCCCTTTCAAAGATTATAGTTTGAGAAGAGAAAAAAAGAGAGTTGATGATTATATAAGAAGTTATAAGCTCTGGAGCTCCATGAAGGGTAAATAATATTTCATGTAAACAAAGCAACATTCATTTAAAAAAAGATATTGTCATGTAAAAGAGTAGAAGTAACTAAAGCAAAAATAAACATTTTGATGGCAAACAGATTAGATGATCTCAAACGTGACAGCTCACGACTTTGAGGTATAGCAAACATGGACATTGGAACAGTAGCCTTATACTGTACAATTGTACAGTTCATACTGTACAGTTCATTACAGACAGTCCTTCCTGTTTACAGCCTTGCTAGCAGAAAGTACTCTCTTATGGTTCAAGCAACCATGTTTGTTTATATTGTATATCTTTATTTTACTGGCATACTTAATGTCTCCTTGAATCATTTATAACTGCAACTTTTGATGCTAAAATTTATCATCGGAAGTTCAGGCTGCATCTTTTCATATTCCTTTCTGATAAAGTATGTGTGCATGCATATTGGTAGAAGAAGCAGGGGGACAGAGACTGCATGTGGGGAAAAAAAATCCAAATATTCAAGTCTACTCAAACTGATACAGTCATAGGAAACCAAATGCAGAGCTCCAGTTAACAGCTGTTGTAGAATCAACAGGGGCATCTAGCACCTGTTTTGTGAGGTCTCCCAAAATGACAGTAATTAGTTTTGGTTTTGTTTTAGCAAAGTGACAGCAGATTTACTAAAAGCAGTGATATATTGAAACTGTAACTCGGGGAATATTCTGCACAAAACAGTAGCACCGTTTTAAGTTACAACATATTTAGTACATAAACTGCTTGATATTTTAACTTTGTATTAGTCTTTAATTTGAAATAGCTCTGATGTCTATTGACTAGTTTCATCTGAAACAGAAGCATCTGTTACAAAATATTGATCTTTGCATCACCTTTTAGCCAAGTAGGTTAATTGAATGGTGCTTGGGGAAATTACTTGAGACGCTGTCTAATATTTATCTTCAAAGAGCTGATGGAATTGTTTGACATTTAGCCAAGATACCTGCAAAAAAATGCTGCTTGAGCAGTGAGGTGGTGTAGCTTAGGTAGTGGTTAAATTTTGAAGAAACTTAGGTTTTTCCTTAATTTGATATTTAGATATTTAGAACAAACCAACCAAGAGGCAGATCTGGCCTGCAATAAAATTAGTGGAATTTTGCCTTTGTTTTGACAGTTAGACTACAGGACTACTGATGCTTCAGGGAATGGTCACTACCTCTGCCATAGCAATTTTCAATCATAGAATACATGCTTACAGTGACATGTTTTACTGTAAAGTGTGTGATACTCATGTCAAAATACTTCCTTTTGGTTCCATGTCTTTGTACATACTTAAAATCTAGTCTAAATCAGCAGACAATGTGCTGATTTACCAGATAGCAAGTGTCGCATTTTAATGAGAGAAAATATTTCTAATACTCCTCAAATATCTAAGGGAAAAGAGGAATGTTTTATCATCTGAATCTCCCTGCAAATTCCTCGTAGTTTTACATTTAGTTGTGAAGCAGACAGACAATAATTTGATAAAGTTATTTTTTAAATAACCCCCTTTTCTACACAGTACAAAATGGTGATTACGAACTGTAGCAGACCATTGTTGCAGAATAATAACTGTCTGTTACCATCTGCTGCTCCGTATATCCATCAGGCACCAATCAATATTATCTAAGCATTGAAATACAATCAGAAAAAAAAAAGGTGATTTCTGTTTCTTCTTCTTGTGGTTTATTTCTGTTTGTATTTCTCTTGTCTAAATGTTCCACTGACATCAAGGGCTCTCCAAATGTCTTCTAATACGGAAAATATTTGTGAAGTTAGAGGTACGTGAGACAATGTTTTGGGGTGGTAATGTTGATTTTTGTGCGGTGTATTATTTAGTAGATTTTTTATTTCAGTTGTGATTAATTTTTTTCACTAAATATTTCTTATTTAGTCTGATATGAGATTAAAATTTTTCAGGTAAGTGTGTTCAACATAACTTTTTTTTACAGTCTTCCATTTAAAATAAAGCAAGTGTTGATACTCCTTTTCTAGCCCATCCTACCTGAAAGTGATTCTTTAGGGATTCTCTGGCATGGAGAAATATTGCTTAGCATTTGATTATTGTTAAGTCAGCTCATTAACTAGGTAATTGTTGTGCCTGCCTACTGCTGCTGGGCAGCATGTAATTGAGCCAAGTGTAAATTGAGCTTCAGAATATACTATAAATTGACCTGACCTAACTCTTTAATAAAGACAGCATATAAACCATAATCCTAGCCCTGCAGGCCTTTCTCATCTGAATAAACTTTGCTCCATAGTTCTGTTCAATATGTGGAGTGGTTAATTTTCAATCTATAGTTGATTAAAAATTATTCTTAAAACTTCTTAAATTGAAAATTGGATTTTCAACTAGACTATTCTAAAAAAAAAAAAAATTTAAAGGAAAAAAAAAGTGTTTGAAAACCCCAGACACTTGAAAGTTGGGAAGAAACATTGCTTTTGATCCAAAGCAGCTGAAAATGCGTTCACAAACAAAACTTCCTTCTTTCTTGTGTTTCTAACTGTAAAAGCATTGCTTTTATTGAAAATTTCATTGGAACAGAAACTCATTTTCCAATGTGATTTAGGAGTAAATTGGTTCATTTGGGATGAGAAGATAGTTAATGGCCCTCAGGCTTTTCAGGATTTACAACTAGGACACAGAAGGGATGAATATTTGATAGTTTGTACTGGACAAAAGGAGGGGACAATGATAACTGAATATCTTGTTTACAGTGCTTTATTTTCAGATTTACTTCTTTTGTTAGCAGGCATCTAGTGTCAATTAGAACAGGTTCGGAAGTTGTACCTTAGATTCTTTTGGTCTGCTTGAGATGCAGACTGCTACTGCCATTTCCAGTTGGTCTTCCTGGTCTAACTGGAAGCTGGGCAGATGTAAAGATGAGCTGAATTGGGCTTTCTTTCCCAGTGCTTCAGAATGAAGATACTTCCCAGGATGAGCTTTTACTGTGCCAAGGGAATGAGGCAAATACAGATTTTTTTTTCCCTCTAATCTTAATCTGGCTATGTAAAGGCAAGTTATGTAAGGGGAGATCTGGAGGCAAAAGATGGCATATTTTTTCCAAGCTTTAGTAAAAACTGAGCAGTACTAGATGGAGCTAGGGAAAAGAACTAGCCAAACTATTGTTGCTACTGTGCTTGCAGCACTGTACTGTCGCAGATGATGAATGATTGGGCTGGTTCAGCTACACCCAAGTTAAAGAAAAGCATGTTCATGTGGTGCTCCCAATGCTCGTAAAACTCTGTAGTCAGCTGCTGTGTATGATCATGCAAGGCATTGTACAGGTATTTCATACTCTAGATATCTAGATAACAACTATTTCCCACATTTTGTTTTGTATATACAGGACATAACTGTGAGCTGACACCCTGCACAGCGATGCAATACAGTGCTGACACCATCATTGGAATTTCAAGCTAAAACTGTGAGATAGATGGACAAGTTCAAGTAGAACCAAATAAGAAGTTCAAAGGTAAGGCTCTAAGCCTCTTCCCTCCAGTATATACACATATATAAATATATGTGTACACATATACACAATTCAGCTATCAAGTTGCTATGTATAACCATGTCTATTGTTATACAGCTATTTTTATCTAGTGTTTAATTATACGAGAACATATTTTCATAAGAGAGCATATGCTATTTCATTACTTAGCATTTTAAGCTTTCTTTACCTATCAATTGGTGTAACACTTTGAACTGACATGTTTTGAAAATTTTGCCCCACATGTGAGTGTTTTCACATGGATTAAATTTGAATATTTACATATATTTTATCTCATTATATCCTTGTAGGTCTGTAAGACCTGGTACTACTATTTGCAGTTCAATATAATGCAAGTTGAATTTTTCTTTAAGAAACAAGAGGGATGTTTATCGGGGTAAGAGTCATTGCATTCCTCTAGCTCTGGTATGATAGGAATTTGGGGTGGAGCAGTGAGTGCGTATTCCAGAGTCCCCATGGGATTCTGACCAACACAGGTTCTGTCTGAGTCTATCCGCAGTAACATGTCTTCTTTGTTGAGAATGAACTGGCCTAACCAGCCCTCCTTTAAGCCCACTGTGGTTTAATAATCCAGCTCCAGTTTTATCAATATTTTGCTATCCAGTATATAGGTCATAGCATGAACACTTTAGATCTGCTCCCACTTCCCACTGGAATGAACAGACATAACCTTGAGTTCTCATTCAGCCCCTGCACAGGCAAAACCCTCAGACATTGAGTCAGGATCTTGCTTCAGAGGCATCATGTTAATCAGAACCTGTCTGGATTTGGCTAATGCCAATTGCTTGCCTTGTGTTAGGATGCATTTCCTTGAACTTGTAGACATCTGACTAACATTATTTATGCATCTTGGTAGCTTTTATAAAAGTTCAGAGCACAGTGTTTCACAAGAACCTTTCAGCATTTCAAAAGATTCAAGGATTAGAGATAGCATATATTACATTTACTCTGCATGAGAGTCTTTAAACATTCTGCTTTCCCAGCTTGAAGGCTGAAGTGCTGTGTGAATCACTGACCTTGAGGGAATCCTCTGGTAAACATTTCTATACCTGCTAAATCTTTGAACTGTAATTGGACATTGTTAACACGGAAGCTGTCTGTGCCATGCTGTCAGTGAAGGCAGATAAGCTTAATATAAGAGAGTGAACCTACCAGTTTTATTTTGATCAAAGATGTAAGCCTTGAATTATGTCTTTGGACTCTATTTATTTCAGTAGAGAAGCCATAGTGTTGCATACAACCCAGCAGGGAGATTTTGAACCTTCAGAATTTGATCATGATATATTATGATTTGAGTATATATTACATATAATTAATCAATAGGAAAGCACTTCAGTTCCTTTTTTTTTTAAATAAAGCGTATTCCATTTGAAATTTCTAAGTGCTAATTATGTCACCTTAAATGGGAATAAATTATAAAACCATGGAAGCTACAACATGTTAATCTGATTCCAGTATGATAATTTGCAAAACTAAGGACTTCCCGTTTCAGCATGAGTAATCAAGACAGATGAACCTGATCTTAGTCTACTGTTGGAGTGTTTACGGAAAATGCACAGTTAGTTGCGCAGTACAGTTTGAAATGTAGCCTCGCAATATGCAGTTTGGATTCATTTATGCATAGACATTAATGCCTATGCAAAATTGTCGTGGAGAGATTCTGTGGGAAAAAAGAATTTTTACTTTGTTCGAAATTAAATTATACTTCAATTCTGTGACCATTAAAGTATCCTCCCAGTATCAAAATCATTTGAATTAAAATATGTGCCAAGATTTTGGCAAAGATTCTGAAATCACCTCAAGCTTTGCTATGAATTTTAATTAATTGAGCATCACTCAATGAAACGAAAGAAAATCTAGGTAACCAAGATGTTGCAATGTTCCCTCTTCCAAATGCCATTTAGTTATGATATTTTTACTAAACTTTGACCAAAATCATGAAGCAGTCACATATGAGAATTACTTCCTATCTCCATATAGATATTTGTACTATACACATATCATCTTATTTGTTATAACTGCAATTACAGCTTTTATTCATTGCTGTTAGTATCAACTATTTGGGAAGCTTCCAGAAAATAATAATTTTAAAGGTAAGCATTATATAGAATCAAAAATATCACATATAGCTAAATTCACCTCACAGTTGTAATAGCCAATCTCAGCAGAGCTACACTTTATGCTCCTACAGAAATAATTTGGTCCATAAGATCTGAATTGATTTCAAATTATTTCACCTTCCTTATGGTGGGTAGGTGGGTGCAGTAGAACTGTGAATTCTAGGAATCATCTTCAGATGGAAAGATATTTTAATGAATCATCTCAATGCAAACTTTGTCTGGGAGGTCAGTGGCCTTACTGCTGAGTCATGCTAGCATCTGCAGCTTTTAAGTTCTTTCTAGGATGTAAAAGGGCATGGGTAAATAGTACATAAATATTAAGGCTAAAAAAAAATGTTGGGCATAGCTTGGTTTTTGAAGAGAAAATATGGCTTACAACTACTTGTGACCTGAACTAAACTGACAAGCATACATTTCTGCAATGTAGAGTACTGTTATAATTTGTTCAACCCAAAGTGTCTACTCATAAGTATACTCTTAAGACCTGCAAACCTGAGCTTTCTCAGTGGGAAGCAACTGAATATTCCTATGTGTTTCTGGTGGACTACTTTGTTTCCACTGCAAGTGATATTTTCTAAGTAAAGGAAATATATCTTCAGGGAGTGAGATTCAGGTGAGTGTTCTGGAAGTCTATTTTTGCTCCATCAGGAAAACAGCTAGCAAAAATACTAGGAAGACTCCTAACAGTTGAGCTGGGTAAAGAAGTGAGGGAAGTTAAGAAGGGGGTCTCATTATTCTCATTAGTCACAAGATGTGCCTTTCACTAAAATATTCCATATAAAAAAATACTGATATTATGATCCTATTGAAATTATGAAATGCTGAAATTATGATAATAACAAGTATGAAGATTCTAGAATTATGTATTAGCAGTAGCTGAAATTAAAGTATTTTCCAGAGGAAGCATTGTTCACTAGCAAGGCTATTTACCCCCACATAGTTACTGACTCTTGAAAAACAGATTTGTAAAGTGTAGCTCCTCATGATATGTTGAGTTGTGTCCAAGTAGCTACCACTTCTTTTTTTGTTATAATTCCTACAAATTTGTCCAGGACAGAGATAAGATTTACTAGTTTATAGTTCACTGGATCAACCTTGGAGGTGTTTTTGAAAATGGGCGTCACCTTCCATTCTTTGAGTATGAAGTGTGTTGTAAATGACAGATTACATACTGTGTATTAGTGTGTCCTTTACGAGCACATAACTTGGCACATACCTTGGTGGTTTGCTACTATTTATTTTACAGATTTGTTCTAAGACGTTTTGTACTGACATTTCACTTTATGGAAGATCCTCCATTTCTTTCTCTCTAAAGACGTATTCTAATATAAGATACTTTTAAAGTTCCATCATGATGATCAAAGATGTGAAGAATTTCTTTAGCTTTTCTACTACAGCCTTTTCTTCCGTTGTCACATACTTATTGCATGTTGGCCTTAACATATTTTTTGGCTACACAACTTGCTTTTAATGTATATGAAAGACGATTTTCATAGACTTCACTAACATGTTTCTCCAGTTGGTTGAGGACCCCCTGAATGGCAGCACAGCTCTCTGGTGTATCCGCCACTGCTTCCAGTTGTCAACATTTGCAAACCTGCTGCATGAGCACTCTGTCCAGGGCACTGATGAATAAGTTGATCAATACTGGATCCAGTATTGACCCCTGGGTGGAGAGGGGCACTGCTAGCTACAGGCCTCCAAATAGATTTTATGCCACTGAGCACAACCCTCTGAGCTCTGCCCTTCAGACAGGTTTCCATCCACCTCACTGTCCACTTATCTATCCCACACTTCCAGAGCTTTCTCGTGAGGATATGGTGGGAGACAGTGACAAAAGCCTTACTGAAGCCAAGGGAGAAAACATCCACTGCTCAGCATGCTTGCATTGTGAAGGCCACACAGATTAGAACTGCAGTTCTCATCTTTGCAGTTTTTTCCTTTTGGGATCTTGAACAAGATATTGATGATACCTCTTCTTTGCATTATATTGGCTTTATTAGATACCTTAATTTGAGACAAATAAATAATATGGTAGTGTAATGACAGAATGAGATGCTAACAAGCACGAAACTATGTATATATTGTAAAACCAAGCACAAGTCAGATATGCTCTTCTATTTAAATCTTTCCTTAGCCTAAGGCAGATAAGATTTCAAATGTAAGCATTTACTTTTGTATTAATTACTTCTGTGCAATTTTTAACTCAGCAGGATATGTTGCTTCTTAGTGATGCAACTCCTCCTCAGCAGTGACAGATTAGTACACTGCTGACACTGCAGGGTAGAATTCAGTATATAAAAGGGCACAGCCTCATATGGCCTGGCCCAAACTTAATCCCTCCTGAGCAGCCCCATCACAGGGCAGCTTTCCATTCCTGGAGTGTTTATCACATTCGGGATGTGATTTCCTCACAGTCAGCTCTGCATCATCTTTATTAATTATTTGCAGACCTCCTGAGTTTTGTGCCCTAGTTTTGTTGATCCTGATGTAATCTTCCCTGTAATTAGCCCGTGTCGCTGTGCACTGCAGTGACGCCGTTCGCGGCTGCTCCATGAGCGGGCAGGCCAGAGCAGGGGCGCCCACAGAGGTGCGCGCAGACCCGGCACCGTCTGCGAGCAGAGACGTGCCCGGGGCAGGGAAGGGGTCGTATATTGCCATCCACAGCATGAAATTGCAGCCCTTCTTAGCCACTTCTATTTTATGCATCTCTGTGTGTGCTGTGGGAGCTGGATCCGGGAGGAATGTGGCGCCCTCGCAGTGCTATGTATTTCCCCCAAGAGTGCTCTGTTTGAACTTGCTCTCACAGCCGGCCGGGCAGCGTGGCCCGTGCCGGGGAGACAGCACAAGCTGCCTTCATGGAGGCGCTGGTGCAGGCCCCGCAGCAGCGCCAGGGCTTCCCCCGCCCTTCCCCCGCGGCTCCCCGGAGCAGAGGTGCGAGGGCCACCAGGCAGGTGGGGCCTGCGGGGCTGGGCGCCTGCACCGGACCGGCCGCTCCCGCACCGGACCGGCCCCTTCCGCACCCTGCGGGCCCGGGCCCCGGGCGGCCCCTGCCGTTGTCACGGTAACGCGCGCGACTCCTCGCCCTGCCGGCACCCTTGTCGCTGTCAGCAGGCACAAGCTGGGTGACTTAACCCCCAATCGCCACCGCACGAGAACCTCTAACGCTAAAGGCCGCTTCTGCGGGGAAGCCGCTGCCGCGCGAAACGGCCGCCCGCGAGAGAGCCCTACGGCTCATCACGGCGGCCCCGCCGGCCGCCATTTCGCGCGGCACCGGCGCGCGGCCGGAAGAGCGGGGCCGTTGAGCGCGGCGCACATCCGGCGCCCGCCTCGCCGCCCGCCTCGCCGCCGCGGAGGGGCCGTTGCCGCCTCCCGCCCGCCCGCGCCCCGCATGGCCGCCTCCGTGGTGAGTGTGCCGCTGCCCCCGCGCCCCGCGCCCGCCCCGCGGCGTCGCCTCGCGAGCAGGGGCTGCCAGGGCGACCGCAGCGTCACCCGAGCCTTACGCGTTGCCAAAAACAAAAAAAGGCTTTAATTTCTCTTAATTGTGGTTAAAATATGTCCCCGGGGAAGTATCTGAAACATTCAGATAGTGCCCGAGGGGGCTGCGAAGTCTCCGTTCTGGGAGACGTTGCAGAAACGACCCCAAGCAGCGGGATCGTGTGGGACAGTGACCGAACTCGGAATAGGGGCCTGCTTTGGGCCGGGTGATCTCCAGGGGCCTTCCAGCTAAGTTAGCACCAGAAATTGAGAATATACTCGCTGCTCGGGTTAAAACAGTAGTTGTCCTGAGTGGCTGAACTAGTAAGACTTATTTTTCTTTTGTCTTACATTGCCAGTTACCTAGTAGCTCATGTTGGATTCCTCCTGGTGCTTCATGTTTTCCCTCACATGCAGTCTGCCTGGTTAGCTGGATGATGGGCTGTTGATTATTCTCATAATAATGATGTGTGTGTGTAGGTGAAGCACTTAGAGACGTGGTTTAGCAGGCATGTTGGTGATGGATGTATGGTTGGATTCAATGATCTTGAAGGCCTTTTCCAACCATAATGATTCTGATTCTGTGTGCGTGCACATGCGGGTATGGGAGGGGTGCCCATGATGGTTGAAAGGCAACAGCCGCAGGCTCCGATAAGGTAAAGTAGCAAGCTGAGTTACGGTGACCATTCTTTTAGCCCAAGTTAAGCCTTGATCTTCTAGTGCCAAAGATTTACTGTGGGAGCTTGCTGGAGTACAGCATCTTTAAGGCAACTTCTGTGTATTTGCTTGAAATTGGCCACGGGTTTCAGAAGTTGGAGGAGGTAGAAAGGAGCATTGCTCATGTCCTTACAGAGAGAGGTCAAACTGACAGTGTACAGCTAATGTGGAAGTATATGACTTCATGGAGTAAGCAGTGATTATTTGACAGGTTGATAAATGTTTTGCAGTATGATTCTTTGAATAGAAATGTTTCTTGTAGGAACACTGTAGGAATTATTAGTAGTCTTGGTGTGTATGCATAAAAAACTTGGTCAATTTTCATTAAAGACAGACAGGAAAATGTAAATAGTTAAACCAATGAGCAGTGATTTAGTTGTAAATACTGAGATTATGATACTAAAATAGATTAATAACTGATAATAACTGTTTTAATAGAAACAAATCACAGTTATGCATTTGTGACAGGTAATTCAGAAACACTCTTCAGAATATTACAATTGAGGGCTGATCAAGGACTAAGCAAATAAACAAGCTGAACAAATACCTGAATGAGCACCCAGTGCAATAGTGTGACAAAGTCTGATGCCTTTGGATGAATAAAGTGGCAAGGTGTAAGGAAAATAGTGAGATGTAAGGAAAGGTATTTGCTTTTTGCTTTTGTATATCCGTTGGTGGAGTGGATACGGGAGTATATCCAGTTCTGCATCTTGCGCTCTCTCAGTGTTTTAAGATGTTTAAAAAAGCGTGAGAGACTGTCATTGAAGTGTGATAAGTTTCTTGATACTGTTCAGAAATAACTTGAATAAATCTTGATTTCTTCAGGCTTTTTATCATAACAGCATGACCATTGCAGCACCAGATATTTTCACTGAGCGCTTTTATGTTCACTGCACTTACAGCCAGTCACAGCTCAGTGAATACTTCTGATTCAAATACAGTAAATAAATCAATATTCAAAAATGAGTCCTAAAGCTAGCATGAATTTCAAAGTTACTGAAAGTTGGTGTATCCAGCAAGGAAGGCGGAATTTGATATAATTTTCAACATTGTTTGACACTATCTTTTAGGAAGATTGGAAAATTTAGTGACTTGGTCATATACAGAAGGATAGTTCACTAACTGGAAAAACTGCTTGGATAACTAGCTGCGTAAAATTGCTTAATATATATAATGTGCAGTTTTGTATGGTTTCTTCTCCGCAGGATTTCAAAACCTATGTGGATCAAGCTTGTAGAGCTGCTGAAGAATTTGTCAACATTTATTATGAGACAATGGACAAAAGAAGGAGGGTATGTAGATATTTTGAAAACAGTTCCAACTTCTGCATTTTTTCCTTGCTTTTCTAACGAATATTGGCCTGGAAGTGTCTGAAAGTTGGTTTCTGCCTACTCTGTTGGCAGAGTTGAGATCTCTGTTTCCTACGCATGCACTGTAGAGATTCTTCTCTCAACACTGTTGTTAAGAGGACCTTTTTAGACTGTGCCCCAGATATATCCAGTAATGGTTCAATTTGTGTCCAGCTGCTTTTTAAAGATTCAGGATTGGTCCATGTGAGGACATAAAACTTGCTTTATTTGTCTCCAGACTTAGTTTATTTTTTGCCAAACATTTTTTTTCTTTTTTAGAATTAGTAGTTCTACCTTCTTTTATATTAAAGAGTCTGAGTCTTTAGAAGTGTCTAAAGATAAAGCTTTGAAAGTTTTCATGGACCACGTTGATGCGGTATCACGTAAGAAATACTTATACTTCAAAACAGCTATGAAAATTGACTGTTACGTGGAATTTTTAATATAATACAACTATAATTTATTAATTCTATATTATGTGAAAGTGTCAACATTCAGATATTACTTCTTAGTTGCACTGCACATAAGCAGGTTAGGTGGAGATGCAGCAATAGCTTGTGGGAGTCCCTGTGGAAGCTTCCACTGTTGCTGGTCTTGTTCAGTTATTACAATATTTTAGTTTGTAGTTTGAATTTTTAGGTAAGGACATTAATTGTTAATAGAACTGATATTTGAGGAGGATGTTATTTTAGGTATAGAATAAATCAGTAACACAAAATGGTATTTTTTGAAGGCCAAGGTTGTGCATTGTATGTTTTTATATGCTTTTCTCAAATATGTATGTTTGTAATCCCGTAGGTTTTGACCAGACTCTATCTGGACAAAGCAACGTTAGTGTGGAATGGTAATGCAGTGTCTGGGCAGGAAGCACTGAATGAGTTTTTTGAAATGCTGCCATCTAGTGAATTCCAGGTTAATGTACTGGACTGCCAACCTGTTCACGGTAAGGTTATTATATAATATCTTTTTTTTTTGATACATAATTTTCTGTGTAACTGCAAGAAGTGAGCAGCAAGTGCAGTAGTGCTCGGTATTTATATTCGGGAGGCATATTTACATTAAATACAAAATTTGTTTGAAATGTAAAGCATGCTCTTCCACCTGTCAAGGGAAAATCTTTAAGCAAATTTTTAAAGCAATATTTTTATTAATACCATATGTGATTTCAGATATTGTTTTAAAAAGACGCAAATGTGATGTTTCCATGTACTGAAAAAAACGTGTCTTACCATGTTACATTGTCCTTGACAAGGATTGAGAGTCAAGAAGCTCTATATAGCTTCTGATAACGGCATGCAGTGTAATGTGGAACAAATCATTTCCCCTTCTGTATCTTCATTTCTTAATATCTATAGTAGATATAATACATGTTCTTTTTTTTTTTTTTTTGATTTCTGATCTACAACTTCCAGATAAATATTTACGTAATTGAGAAGTTAATGAGTGTTTTGGGAATATAAGCAAGGAAAGAACTGTGGTCAAGCCTTGTTTGCTTTACTTTGCTGTGAAAAGAGTGTAGTCTCTAACAGGTGTGGGAGAGAAAAAATGTATGCAGCTTGCTAAATATATCGAATAATGAGAGCTTGTTCCAAGCAAAATCCCACGGGCTTTTCACAATGCTCTAGAATATGTCGCAGCATGTGTTGAAAATACAGAAAATACTAAAAAAGCAGTGAATAAATGACTGTCTATATAGAAATGATATAATGTATTTTTCGTGGGTGTGTAACTATGTGTTAGCCTGTAACTAATATAAATAGAATTAAATGGAACTTCTGTGTACATTTCCTAGTTATTTAGCTATTTGCCCTTGTTTGGGTTGTTGGGTTTTCTATATAATTTTTCTCCTTGTGAAGAGCAAGCTACTCAAAGCCAGACAACAGTCCTCGTGGTGACATGTGGGACAGTCAAATTTGACGGCAACAAGCAGCGCTACTTCAATCAGAACTTCCTGCTGACAGCGCAAGCCACTCCTACCAACACGGTGTGGAAGATCGCGAGTGACTGTTTCCGCTTTCAGGACTGGGCCAGTTAGTGGGGACGGGCTGTGGGAAGTGACCTCTTTCCTTCGGCGTGCTCCAAGTTAGCTGTACGGACAGCTGTTCTGCAGGCCTGGGAAAGGCTCACTCTTCCTGTTGCATCCTCGTTATGGAGGCTCTACGGACATCTCTGCATCGATCGATCCCAATGGTTGTGATTTTAGTAGTCAATAATCTTAAAATGTAAGAGGTTGCTGATGGTAGTGAACCTATTGAAGTGCTGAAGGCAATAAGCTGTGTTGGTATCATTCCTAAAATGCCTTATGTGCAGCCGTGCTGCCACTGACAGACTTTTTGTACGTAAAATTGAATGCTGAAACTACTTTGAACTCAAACACCTCTTAACATACAGTTCTGACCAAACCAGTAATTACTTCAACTTGAAAAAACATTTTTTACAACAGCTTCTCTCTTTTGAAGATGGTATTTGTGCATATATATAGAATTCTCTAAGTTACTTTCTTTCAGTTGGTTGTAAAAGGTTAGAAAGGATTGGTAATGATTCCTGCTGTCTATGAAAGTAGCAAGTACAGCTCCTGAGTGTGTAATGTCTCAAAAGTGATCGATTGGAAAGCTAATGTTAACCTTCCTTGATGTGGAAAAATTGGAAAGATTAAGTACTCTTCAGGTTTCAATTTGACGTAAGTGTCTCAGAATTTGGTTGTGGTTAATATACATTGATTAATTTGTGGGGAATACTAAGTGATTCAGAGACAACAACTCTGCTGTATGCATGTAAAGGACTTCAAATGGATTATCTTAAGTTTGAAGTCTTGCAGTATAAGAAATTAGTTTACTACATTGCTGTCTGCTTTAATTGTTAGTTGTGTTGCTATAAGGGATGAACTGTTTTACTGTTTTTTTTCCATCTTCTGCCAAGTTTTAAATTCCTATTTTGTTGTCTGAGTATATACTATTAAAAAAGTGACTCTGAAACCTGCGTAGTTTGAATCCCTTTTGTCTTTTCAGAAAATACTGTAGTTAAGGGGCACTGAAAATGTGCATTGCTTTAAATGAGACCTTCAGTTTTTTCCTCAGTACTTTTTTTCAGAGCAGGTGCTTTTTTTATTGGAAAGTTGGACGGAGAAACACAAACATAAACAATATTTTTATCTCATGTAGAATTTTTCTTTTAATCTTGCTCTAAGTTTAAAGCTAAAACTGTTTTAAAGATAAAACCCTTTTGACTGCTTTAAAGCAGTTTTCAAAACTACAGGTTAGAAGATTGTCCATCTTAGTCTGGGAATTTAGGAGTAAATATGAGTATTGGCATGGATTATTTCAAAGTGGTGTGTTTCTATTTTAAACTAGGGAAAAAATTAAAACATATATACGGGAAATTAAACTTGCTTGTAACTGAAAATATGTGTGAGAGGAACTTGTAGCTCTAGTCTTAATATTGCTACTTGAATACACAGCAGGGTTAGGACCGGAGCTCTCTTGTTTTTATTACTTAAATTTGAAAACTGTGAAAATAAACAATACCTGGCCTGTGTAAAACATCTATAGATACGTGATATTATCCCACAAACTATGAGATAGCATGATATTTTTGTGAAATGAGTGGATTTATTTCATTTAAGGCACTGTAGTCTTCATATCAGTAAGTTAAAATCAGTAATATGATTTATTACAACAACTGTTTAGTGTTCTGAATAGTGCCTAAAGCTGCTGTGTAACTATTTCAATTGGAAATAAAGGGTTACCGTTGTTACCAAACGATGTAAGAAATCCAAAATCTCTGAAAATTGTGAATACTGTAAATACATTGTTATTCTATGTGTGATGAGGAAGGGGTTAGTCTATTTAATTGCAGTTTATCTTAACATAGTAGGGGAGGCTTGTATAATTTTATTTCTTCTGCAAGTTTGAAAAGAAAAATTAACCTTCAATTTGCCTGTTACTGATGTAGCACTGTTGAACGGTCCCTGGTGTGATGTGCTTCTTTTTAATTTGCTGTTGCTGACCTAAGTAGTATTACAGACCTGCTTTGCACCCGCCAGGCAGATTTTGACTCTTAATACTTAGTGAAGGGTGCAACTGTAACATTTGACTATTGAATTTTGAAGTCACCAGAAGACGTACTTCTATCTGTACTCAGCAAGCTTGTAATGAAAATAAATATTTATTGGCTGTTTTACTCTACATTTTAATTTATATAGTAGTTATTAAATCTTCTCTAACCTGAGCAGAAGGTTTAGATCATCTGCAGTACTGTTACAGTCAAATGTCAACATCACTTTCATGCTATTCACATATATGCTATGTTGCAGTTTTTAAATCTGGTTTCTGTGAGTATTTTTTTTTAACTAGATGAAACATTATTTGAAAGCCTACTAACTGGTCTTGGTATACAAAGCTAGTGTATACTCTTGCTTTCCTTGTAAAATGTATAGTTGGAATTGGACTTGGGGTGTACACTGATTAGAGGCTAATTAGTTCTGTCTAGGCAGAAGTGTTAGTCAGGAGCTGCCTATTTCTCCAGTGCTTCAGCGCTCCCATAATTAGGTGTTGTTCTTTATAACTGAACATGCTGTTTTCCAAAGTATTTTTATGGAGCATTTCAATATTTATGGAGTATATTAAGTGATAATGCATCCACTAAATTAAATCAGTGGTTCTACAGCTGCGTAATTAATGGTGCAGACAGAAAATCTCTTCGAGGCCAGCTGGGGAAGTTAAGAATGTTGCAGCTCAGTGTTGCTTGTTACCACCTCTGTGGTGAAGTCTGCAGAAGGGAACCTGCAAAAGCTTCTTGTTACACTTGTTCACTGCGAAATTATCAGAGCTGGTTTAGTATTCCCTGCTGCTGACTTTGCTGTAATATCATAATTTACATTTGCCCCTTATCATTTGAACATGTTTATTTTCTAACCTGTGATCAGGAGCTAAAACTGCTATTTTCTGCTCTTTGATGCCAAATTACAGCAGATCAGTGAAACAAACCCAGTTGAACAGCTAAGCATTTTCAAATAGCCACTTGTGGGTACCGAAACTTGGTAAATCTAAATCTTCTGTTTCGTGTATTTATTCGCTTTATTGTCTATATTATTATTATTTTTTAAATGTTACTTTGCTCTTCTGGAGTACTACAATTAAATTGACTTAAAATATATATGCTGTTTCTGGGGATGGAGAAAAGGGACACCTTCTGGTGAGGTAACAGAATGACACTTTTGATATGTGTACGCTGATAACCTGTTCGGGGGGGAAAACATAAAGAAATGTTGCTTTAGCAGCAAAGTGACTTTCCACACTTGAATGTATTTTGTAAGTTTTTAAAACTGTTCAAGACCTCTTGTTAAGCTTCCTATATATATAAAAAGATCTACTCTATTTTTTTAGAAGTTTTCATAGTTTGTTTCTACAGTATTAAAAGTAAAGCAAATAACTTGTGGCTTTCCCATCTTTACTGCTTGTGTTCTAGTTGCGAGTCATGTGTTCTGTGTGGTGCACCAGGGTATGAGGATACTATCATTGCTGCAGTTAGAACAGCATATTTGGAACAGTGACTAGTCCCATAGCAAATGCCTCACTGAGAGTACGGTCAACTTGTAAATAATGTTAAACTGGCTGTAAATAATGTTAAACTGGCTAGAGTAAAAACCTTAAATTTGATATTTCTCTCATCTGAAATTTACAGAAGTTTAGACTGTCCTACAAATATGTCTGTGGAGTCAAACACCCCTTGTGGCAGATCCTTGAATTGTAAATGTTTTCACTGAGACCAGTGCTGTGCATTTGATCTTTCTCTTCCAAAAAGAAATGTATCATGCAAATGAGAAGTGGTTAATATGGCAGCTCTGATGCTTCGTCTTGCTGATCACAGTGCTATATGACTGATGATCACTTCCACAAGTGTAGATAGTTTCTAGCTATTGGCAATGGAAACATGCAGAAGGGAAGGTCAACACCTGTGTGGGTTTGCACTTCCAGAAACATTTAATGAGGAGTATATTGTAAAGTTCTTGCTGTGTATGAAGCAGTAAAATGGGGTGAGGCGTAGCAAGAGGCTGAATTTTTTTGTGATTATCCAGAACAAAGCTCTGACAGCTGCTGCAGTGTTAAGGGTCAGGGGTATCAGGGGGCAGAAAAAAACCCTCACAATTAGGGTTGCACTGTTGCATTTCAGTGGCTAATTTATGACTCCTTGCAAGTGAATGCAGTTCAGCCCGGGTGAGTTTGCAGCTCTGTGTTTTTCAACATTTTCCAACTAATATACAATGTATGGAAACACTAAAACAAGCGTGTTTGAATGTTTGGTGTTGTGATTAATATTTGAGAAGGTCTCTTTGTGACACTGTGTGAATGCTCGTAGCTGGCTAAGTACTGTGGTGTGTATATTCATGCCAGCAGAGGAAAAATGAACCTTGATGTGAACAATTTACCCTTCTGTCAAACCAGAGCGAGTTCCCAGGTTCTAAGAGTTTAAAAAGCATGTTTTTTGTCAGGATTCAACAAGCTGTCACACTAAGTGCTTTTACTCATCTGAATGGAATGATATTTAGGTGTATTGTGAATTCTTACATGTAATGATATTGATTTGTAAGGCCTGAATTGCGGTTAGACTTAAGTTTGGGCTAAATGGTTATTTGTGTTACCTTTCCATGAATCCTGGGCTTTGCAGCCTGACCAGACGTTATAGCCTGGTTCTGTAAGGTTCCTTTTTCCAGCTGAAAAAAAATGGGCAGTCCTCAAGGTACTCGGGATTTTGTGCAGGTAAGTCGCTCTGTTGTCGCTGTCTTACAGGACTGACTCCCTGGGGTGACTGTTCTGTGGTGTACTTTCCTCTTTAATTTACGGTATAATAGAATTTAGGCCGATATATGGACTTCTACCAGAAATAATACTCTGTATTCATGGTACAAAGATGAGCTGTAAAAGATGAGTAAAAGAATACTTAATATATTTTTCAGTCACAGGTTCCACAGTTTCTTGGTACGAGTAGCACAAACAGGTTTAAATGTGTGGTGCTTTTCCAGTGATGTAAACTGGTTTTTATTCCCTGCTGATCAAACAAATGTGAGACAGATATAGGAAGTAAAAATAATTCTTTGTTGTAGTCTTATCACACCCCAAAGTTCAATGAGATGTAAATACAGGTAAAAACAAATCAACTCTGTCTATTTTTAGAACATGTAGTGGATCACTGTGAGGTTGGTGGCCAGGTATGTGCAGGCAGATTTTTGTACACCTTTCTGCCTTAAATCAGAGAATATTATTACTTACCTTTGCACTCCATATCTTTTGTAAGCCAGAAGGTATCTATTCATGCTTTGAAGCCTACATTCCTCTTACAGACTTCTGAAAAATTATTTCTTGGAGACACTGTGCATATTAGGAATTGATCAAATAGATCCACGTAGCCATATTCCTCTTGTATATTATGTATTTGTAGGTGTATACTGTTTAAGCTTGTCTGCATGATTGATATATATCTTTCAAGTGTGAACTGCATTTAATGTATGGTGCAGTTATTTAAAGGTCTGGTTGAACTGTAACTGTAAGGCAGAATAGATGAATTTATGTAAATCACAAATTACTACAATTCACCAAAACCTCGGGATTCTTTTAGGACTTGAAAAGATACAGCTAGAACAACAGAGAACTGGAAGTAGATGTTTTGTTAATAGCTAAAGGCTAATGTTACTTGGCAGCAGGTCTTGTGCTTTTCTTATGTGTGAATTGTGCAGTGAAAGATGATTTTTTTCACAAGGGCACCCTTTAAGGCAGGACTGAAGTACAGTATCTTGCATGTGCTTTGCATGTTTGGGGCCAGAGGAAGGAGAAGCAGATGGACTGGGAACGTAAGTGGTTAGTTGGTGTTTTTTGGACATCCAGCTTACAAAACTTTCAAAACTGCCTGGGAAGAGGTGAGGAACTAGTTGATATTAAATAAAATGTGGTAAGTACGCACTTGAGCATCCAACACGTAGAAGCGTTAAGGTGTTGGAAGCTCTGTCATACTCAGAAACTGCAGCAGCCCTTCCCCTGTTCTTGTTTAACCTGGCCGACTTGCAGTAGTGGTTGACAGTGCAGTTCCTCAGCTAATGGAGCTGTGTGTGGTGTCCTGCTGAGGGGCAATGTTCAGAGACATTTATCACTGGCACAAGAATTAAAAAGTCACAGTTTCTGTGACTTAAAATATAAATATATTTACTAAGAGCTCTGCACAAAGTCTAGGCTGAAGCTTGCAGTTGCATTACACCAGAGTGTCATTGCCTGAATCCTTGCAGATGGAGGCTGGCTCTTGTATTGCTGCTTGGTAAGAGATTTTAAGAATATTGGTAGCTGGTTGATTTCTCGTCTTTTTTTTTTTTTTTTTCCCATACAGTTCTAACTACTAAAATTTATGCTAAGCTAAAACTAGTTGAGCAAATATGGCTGTTGGACAAAAACTCTGTGAGCATTATAGAGGAAATTCTAGTCTGACCAAAATTCCTCCTCCTTTGAAGTTAATGTTAAAGCTTCTATTTCCTTCAGTTCAGTTAGGATAAAATCACAATGCTGAAAGAACTGGATTGTGTAGCGCAGTGTTCCCAGTGAATGTACATGGTCCATAACATTGTTCAGTAATCTTTATTTGGGGAATGGGGGAAGAAAAGAAGTGATAAAGTATTCGTTTGGCTAGAACATCTGAAATAACTTGACTAGTTTTTTTAGAAAGTGTATTTACTGTATCTTGTTTGCAAGACACTAAGATATTCTTGGTATCACATTTCTGTATTCATGAAAAGAAGTTATTGATGGCTTTAAAAGTCATCATGAGATAACTTAGATCAATTTCTGAGACTTTGCACATGTGAAAAACTTACATTTTTGTAATGCTTCCACGTAAGCCAGCCCTCTTGCTTTACAGGATTGAGGTTTGACCCTCCTAATCCGTTACACTTAGGTACAGCTGTCTGTGCTTTAATGAGATAGAAGAGTGGCTAATGGGCTAATGCAATGGTAATGATACTGCTTTTAATTATTTGAAGTGCTGCCTGCAGTAAGAGCATTTGGTCGGATAACAAGGTGGAGGATAGATTGGTTGTAAAGAAGACCTTAAACTGAGATCTCAAGGTGATTGATGACAGAGCTTTCTGGATGTAGAGCAGCACAGAGGGGTGCTGCAGGAAAGCAACATGAACAAGGTAAGGAGTTAAAGAACAGCCTTGCTCCAGAATAGGCCTTGAGCACAGTACAAGCTGCTGCACAGGAGGAACCCGTGTGTGGAGGGGGTGACACGGGCGGTAAGCGTGGCCTTGGCAGCAGCGCGCGAGCGCTCCTGGGAACACAGCAGCTGGGCAGCCTGGGGCACCGCGCGCCTGCCGGCTGGGAGGGCCGTGATCGGGTAGGACAGGGCATGGCGGAAGCGCGGGCAGGGAGCTCTCCTCAGGCCGCTCTTAACCCCCCGTTCTGCAGCCTGGGGACCCTGCTGCTCCTGGATGTCATTATGGTGCTGCTGGCTTATACGTGGGAAACTGGCTGTGGTGGACTGCCCCTTCCCTGTGAAACAGGAGGAAAGAGCTTGGACCAGCCAGTTCCCCCTGCTGACAGTGCCATGTTTCATTGAGATTCAGATTACACTAAAAGGGTAAAATATTCTGTTAGAAAGATGCAGCTGGAAAAAAAGCAGCCATGCAGCAGGCAGCGGAGCTGTCCTTGTGCGAGCGTGACGGGGAGCAGGTCATGCCAAGGTGCTGCTCCTGCCCGCTTGGACGCGGTGGGAACGGAGCAGCTTGCGAGTCAGTCTGTGCCAAGACCCCCAGGCAGCCTGGGGGGCAGGATGTGCGGAGCGAGGCAGACAGGAGCTGGGAAAGGTGGTGGGCAAAGGAGCCTGAGCAGCAGCAGCTGTGGTGGTCACACACCCAGCAGCAGAGTAATTGGTGCAATTAGGACTGCTAGAGAATCAGCTGCAGGGAGACTCTCCCTTGAGCAGAAGGGGGCTGGTGTCGTGGGGCTGCCTCTGGGATGGCTGGTGCAGGAGGGGCCTGGGGCTGCAGTGCACAGGCAGGTTTTCTTAGTACCCCGTTCTCTGCCCAGAGGTGCAGGTGTTTTGAAATCCTGTGAGTGCTTTGAGCGTCTCAGGTGCTTTAGGGAGCTGGCAGCTTCCATGGCACCTGTAGGTGAGGGCAGCGCCTGTGTGTCTCTTCAGGATCCGTGTTCATTTGCTCTGCGTGGGCTCTGCGGTCCTTTCCCCTGGGGCTGCTTTGAGCTCTGTGCTGCTCCCCTGTTGTGCTCAGCGAGAAGGGCAGAATGGGGCACTGAGTGTTGGTGTGATGCTGGTTTGGCCTTGCCAGACCTGTGTGTAAACAGACACCGCAGTCTGCTGTGGCACTTTTTTATTCTCAAATCATTATTTCTTTTTAGTTAGCCTTGAGCAAAATGTAACTAAGGAAGGCAGTGATATAAGGCTAGGTGTGATTTTTATTTTGCTTTTTAACATCTGTAAAACCTGCAAATTGCAGGATCTGTGGCTGTTGCCCAAGCCAGTACAGTATCTTTCATGGTGCAAGCACTTGGTTGCTCATTTTTCTGAGAAGCCCTTCTACTAAGTGGTCTCTTTCCAGGCAAGTTGTTTTGGCTCTGCTATAGGCAGTTTGGATTTTCATAATCTGAGGGAGGCTTATGAACAGCATGGTAGTGGCTGGAAATAATAAAATAGAAAATGCAGTAGGTAATAACTCTCACTGACATTAGCGGAGGCCTTGATTTGTTCATAAGTGACATTGCAAAGCTTTGCAGCCAGTGGGGCAGGACCAACCAGCACTGAGCTGGATGTCACCCCAGCCAGGAAGGGCCCTGCTTTGTTCCCAGCGCTGCTTCTACCCGCTGCAGGTGCAAGGCGCTCCCAGCCCTCCTGTCAGGACTGGTTCAGATCCAATGAAGTGGAAATCACCCTGCAGCAACCACCACTTGCTATGTGTAGTCAGCTCTACTCCTCCACTGTGGTGTAATCCTGTGGTGGTAACAGAGCTATCAGTTACCGACTTGGCAGCAGCACCGAGTCAATTAGAAATATTTTTCATAGCTCGTGCTTGGTAGCCCTGCTGCTGCTGCGCTGCTTGGGCCTTCCCTAGCTGTGTGAAACTGCCCTGCAGAGCCTTGGTCCAGCTCTGGCTTTGCAGCTGAGTAGGTACAAGCAGGGGGCAGGGTTTGAGTCTTAGATACTCTTACCTATGAACTTAGTTGTGTGTAGGGGAGTTCTCCTCCCCCTCCATGTTACACAACTGATTCATGTTCAGCTTTGTAATGCGCTCTTGATTTTACCACCCTCTTTTTCTCTCTCAAACTATTGCCTAATGAATCTTGCATTTATATGCAGCTGTGCCTAAATATAATCCCATATCAGACACAGCCAAGCTCCATTTCATGTTTTTTGGGGGATCTGATTCTCAAACTTCTGGATAGAGCTTTGAACAGTGGATTTGCCTTCAGAAGAACCCACAGTTACTCTGAGCTTTCTGGCACCTTCAGATTTAGTAAATATGCTGTTCCCCAACATGGCTCTTGCTCTGCGTGTAGGTATCACGGAGAGGCACTGGGCAATGGCTTTGTACCCACAGCCTGTCATTTCATTTGATGTGAGAACATCCAGCAAATACTGTTTTTTCACACACCATCTATCTTTTTCATGTGTTGTGTCACAAATTAATTTTAAAATTATAAAGTTCTTATGGAATGTAATTAATTATTTGCAAGTATAAGATTAGATTAGAGCCTAAGCAAGCCTGGTGTAATTCCCCCTCCCCTCTCTCTTTTTTTTTTCCTTCCTTATCCCAAAAACACTTAAAGGATATCTGGTGTCTTCAGCAGCACTGCCCCATTTAGTTCACGGAGATTGGTCTGGAAGCAGCCCAGTTTTCATCCTTTGTAGCATGTACTGGCTGCTGCTTCTGATAAATGGCTTTTGTTAAGGTACCTGTCCTGTTGGAGACAGTGGGAGGTGCTGACCAGTAACTGGAGGTAACTCGTGCGCCGTAGAGATGTTTCAGAACACAAGAGTTGTTCAACTAATTTGGTTGTATTCGGTTTTTGAAATGGTAACTTCTTGGCCTCTAGGTTTTGAAAATACCATCCTCAGTCAACAAAGACACAGAGTGTAATTGGAGTCTCGGTAAAATACTTCTCAAATACATTCATATTTAAAAAAAACCCAAATACATAAACCTGCAAAGATTGAATTTACTATATATACATATATATATATGGGTGTATATATATGGAAAGTAGTTCCTGTACTTATAAACCAGCGTGTTTTTTTAAAAAAAAAAAACAAAGCACTTTTTTGGAAAGGCCTTTTCTCTGGTTCCTTTTAGTGATTGCTGCAGCTCCGCACACAGCTGGCAGCAGTCGGCACTAGAGGTCCTTGCACGAGCAGCTGGCAGCGGTCAGAAAGCCAGAGAAAGCTGGTCCCAAGCAGAAGGGGCAGTTTGGTTAACCAGTCTGTAGACATGATTTATTTTTGCTGAAAGCTGTTTTGACTTGGGGAAAATAAAAATACACATACACCCAGTAAAGGAAAAAAACTTGCACGGAAATTGCAAGCTATTACATTTAAAAGCAGTGACTTACAAAACCTTTTCTTTCTGTACAGTGACAATACTGTATCATTTTCCTTTATAACCATCATATACACAACACATATGAATAGAAGAAATCTATAAATACTTCAAAAGGCATTTATAATATAGAGCAGTTGAGGGCCACACCTGTACAAAACATAAGCAACATATATAAAATGATTAAGAAAAGTGCAAAGTAGAACAGTATCAAGAACTTCCACTTCTTACAGCATTTATGGTTCAAGTGCAAAGAGCTAGCAGGGATGCAGGAGCTCAGATACTAACAATTCAAAGAGACAGTACAGGATACTGCACACAATGTGATAAAACTATTATTAAATTATTCCCTATCCTCCTGCTTCAGCACACCAATAGCTTCCAGTTATTAACATAACATTGTTTTTATAATCAATTTCTATATGGAGTGATTTGTCCCTTTTTACAAGTTCCTTAAAACAGAGCTCTCCAGCCAGGCATTACTTTCCTGTAGATAAAACAAGACAAGGAGAAACTGCTGTTGGCTTCCTGTTGTCTTGTTTTGGTTACAGCATTTAAAAGGTGAACAGAAATACTTTTCCATATTGTAAATACAGTTATCGTAGACCCTGTAACTTACGTACAGGTGACTTGTAATGTTACTTATATACATGTCGAGATCTGAAGGATCAGTGCCTTAAAAAACAAGCAACCATTTCTCCTTTCCCCCTGCTACCCCAAACCCAAAGTTCTCCTTTTAGTTAAAATCTCCTTAGAGGCAACTGTCCATCAGCTCCACTGCTGTTTGCCTGCCGGGATGCGAGTTCTGCTTCCACTGATGACTGCTCTAATGTCAGTGCTGCTTGCAGCAGTGGGAGTCTTAGTTGTCTCTTAGGCTGCATGCCCGAGTTGAAAGTTCTGCTTGAATTAAAACATAGTGGCAAGTAAAAATGTATTTGGTGAAGTTGAAGTAGGATTCAACACACTTGAGGTGTCAAGTAACTTATTTTTTGAAAGCTTTTCAGTTCACCTTTATTTCAGTAAGTATACTTTGCATTTTCTTTTAGGCACTGTAGTCAAGATACTAACTGATGTGCAGAAGAATCCAGCTCTAATGCGTTATTAGTGACCTCTAGCAAATTCTTGACTAATGTGTTTGTTTTTAATTAAGAATGGTAAGCTTTAAATACGTTTTTCCCTAAATGAATTTTCTTGCTGTGATACCAATTGCATTAATATTTCTGGTTGAAGTATGTGTGAGACTTCAGGAATTAAGAGGAATGAAAGCAGTCTGAATATGCTAGAGGAACAATAACAACAGCAATGACCTCATCACACTGTGTCATATAATGAATGTCCACCTCAAAACTGGAGGTGATCACATGAACCACTAAAGAGCATCAATGTGTTCTGCTAGTAACTAGGAATTTGGAGTCTAAGGTTTTTCTTTTTGTCCTTTGTTGTTCTCATTAGAGATCATAGAAACATTCATCCATTTTGAGTATTATCTTGAACACTTGATAACTACACTATATAAGGACATCCAAAATTGAGTCATGAGAACTTCTGCACAACTGTCTAGTCAACACAAGTTTATTTTCCTCCATACATTCTTTCGATGTCATTGAGGTAATGGTTTTTCAGTTCTTTCCTTTTCAACTTGAAAGCATCTGTTACTAACCCCGTCTCTGGGGTCCACGGCTCAGGGCTTAACCGTACTTTGATGGGGATTTCAAACCGTTCCAATTTCACTGCAGGGACAAGAAGAAACAGAAGACTGTGATTACACGGTTGCGTTGCCATAAAATAAGGCAAGGGCTCTGTAATTTGCATGGCGTGCTGTCCTACTTAATGAAGTAACCTTAAAGTGGGTCGCTAAACTTAACCAGTGCTCAGTGTTGACTGTGTAAATATTCTATTAACATAGTGTGCTCACAGTCTGTATTGGATGTGACATTGCTGACTCTGATGCTGCAACAAATGAGTTTATAGCCTGAAGGTCTTAGAGTACTGTCACAAGAGGACACACTGAAATCTATCAGGCAATTTTTTAGCAATAAGGGTAACATGACCTGAGAGATTTAAAAATAATGGAATAAAAGATTTAAGAACTATAGGATAAAAATAACTTTGTCCCTGCTAATATTGTGTGATGCTTGTTAGAGCCATTTAAGTTGGGTAGACCTTGCTGCACCTGACAGGAGGCCCAGGCTGTGGAAACGTGTGAAGAGCTCGTGCCCCTGTGCACATGTGCTGCGCTGTGCTCCTGCGCTGTGCTCCCACGCTGTGCCACGCGCAACCCTCCACCTACTTGGCTGCAGCTCTCACAGCTCTAGGCTTTTCCACAAACTAGACTCTGTCCTTATTTTAGGAAAAAGGATAAAAAAAAATGGTGTTTAAGTTATAACCAAGTAGGAAAGACACTTGGTATGTGCTTTCAGGTGTTTCTCTTCCCTAGGAGTCTGCTCAGAGCTGGAAGTTGCCTACCCCGCTCCATGTGTGTGCAGGATGGGGGTGCATGCAGGGTGCAAGGGGACCCCAGGCCCGCTGGGCAGCGGGGTCAGAGCAGGAGGCCGGGGCCGCGCAGCCGCCCCACAGCCTGGAGGTCCTGGCACCTGCTCTTTCATCTGCTTTGTCTCAGTCTGCTTCAAGTACTCTTGGAACCACATTCACATAACTTCAAATTAGTTAAGTGTAACAGGTAAAACAACAGGGAGAAGGAAGTGGTAACGTTTTTTGCTGGCTGATAATGTACTGTATGCTATTTTACTTACTCTTGTTTGCCACTTCTTTAATTTCTCGCAGTATTTCAGCTTCCATTATAGGATTGTTACAAATATCTACCCAGGTTCCAGTGATGCCTTTCTGCTCGGCTAAAGCTGTCAGCTTCTTCTGGTTAGGAACCACAAAACTGATCACATAGGACTGGTCACTGACCAAAACAAGGGAAAGAAAACAATCAAAGAAAAATCAAAACATGTTTCAATTTCAGGGAGTAAAATGCTTTCTTGATCTTAGAGATACAGCTCTACAGTTCTTTCAGAACTGTAGTTACTCTCACCACCCCACCAAGCCTTTCTGAAGAATACACTAGGTCTTCACAGTCAGTAATTTATCAGGGGCTTTAAATTGTTTTAAGTGATTGAACTTGATCAGTGCTGTATTGAGTTGTGTACTCATCATGTGGACTTACAGCATAATTTAGGTTCCCTGCTACATCCAGTACCTAACTTGTTCTTTCAGCTTCCCTCCCTGTACAGGGTGTATAGGAGAGGGGGAGGAGGGAGGAAGGAGTAGAGAAAATTCCAAATTTCATGGGGAGCCCTAGGTCAGGTAGAAAGGGCCCAGATTAACCTTCCTCTAGTACTCTGATGGAAAGCCAGATGTGCTTAATATAATTATATCTGTTTGGGAGGGGTGTGGCCCTGAGATGACTTAGGATAGGACAGGTGCACAGGAAAGTTCTATCTGTTTCTCCAGTCTCCATGCTTTGGGGAATCTGGGAGCCTGGGATATCTCAGAGGTTCTCTTTTCAGCTCATGCTGAGGCAGAGGGTTCAGCGGAAACCATGGATAGCGGCAGTTTATCACTGGAGAAGAGAGGCAGAGGTAGCCTGAGCTGTTACCACTCTTACCTTTTGGCATAAGCACAGATATTGTCAATCAACGGACAGTTCTTCAGTGCGGCCTCTACTTTGCCCAGAGACACGTACTCCCCGGCTTGTAGCTTTACCAAGTCCTTTTTACGATCTAGGAGTCAAAAGTGACAGCAACAGAAAAGGCTGGTTGTAGTCAGACTTTCGCGTTTCTATAGGCTCTTTTGTAAAGCCACTGCTTGTCATGTACTTTGTGCAGTGCTGTGCAAGAGTCTCAAAAAAGAAACTGCCACATCTTACTCCAATTTTGAAAAGCAGCTAAGAGCTGTATATGTTGCTGGAAACTACATGTATATATATATGTGTCACAACCTGTGACACTCCAAGTGGGAGTTTGTATTCTTGAACTGCATAGTTAAAACTGAAAATAGATGTTTATTTTTTACACCCCATATGCTACATTTATATATTGGTAATATCAGAGGAAATTGTGTAATTTCCAAAATTTCCATGAGAACTTTTGGAATATATATTTTTTTACACTGTAAGTAGGTAACTAATACATTCATCCTGGCAAAGCCAAAAGGATGAAAAACATACTTAGCATGCTTTAACATCTTGTAATAGACAGAAATGGCAAAAAGTGAGGCCAACCTATGATCTGCAGACACCCATCTGGATGAAATTCCCCTATATCTCCAGTTGAAAACCACCGCTGGCCATTCTCATCAACAAAGAAATCTTCTGATGTCTTCTCTTCATTTTTAAAATATCCCATGGAGACATTAGGCCCACCAATTACAATTTCTCCTCTAGGATTAGGCTTGTCTCTATTAGTATAACCTCCTAAAACAAAACACAATTGTTCTCAAAACATGTTTTTTGTTACCAGAAAGACATTTTGAAACTTTTGCTTAAAATCTGTGCATACACATTAATGATTATTATAAAAGATAATGAACTTCATGTACTACACACCCAGCTAAGCAGCAGTAAATTAATTACTGGAAGGCCAAAAGATTTAATGCTCTCACCTTCTTGCCAGTCTCTCAATTTAATTTCACAGCAAATAAGAGGTGCTCCAACCCTGCCAGTGCTGTAATCAGCAACTTGGGGAGAGAAGGAAGAATACAGAGATTTTTGTCATATGAAATAGGAATTCAAACCACAGATAGGACAGTAGCTTATTTCAAGCTATTTTATTGCACTTAGGAATTATTCTAGCTTCACCTTTTAAAAAAAATTACTTTTTTAAACGTTTGTATTTCTACACACATGTTAACTACCTTCTGTAATAGTTCCAGCGCCACATGTTTCTGTTAATCCATAGCCTTGCCCAACTGGACAGCAGAAACAGATGTTCATGAATCTTTGTGTCTGAGGTGAGAGTGGTGCTCCTCCAGAAAGCATCATACGGATGTTCCCTCCTAGTAAAGCCTTTACTTTTTTAAATAAGAGTCTTAAAAGAAGGAAAAATATATTTAAATATCACTCATTCCACTCAATTGGAGAGAAACCTTCCTCTTCCTTCTTAGCTAGAACACCTTAAAAATAACTGAATCACTCACAGATACTAATTGACAGCAGGGAAAGTAAAAAATGTCCATCTGGCAAAATCCTTGAAGATAGCAGAGTTCCTATAACTTGCTAAAGAAACAATCAAATTTTGGTAAATGAAAAGGCAATCCAAAGAAAAATAACTAGTCATCTGCTGCTCTGAAGATTAGTCATACTTAAGTAAATAAGAGTATTAATGTAAGTACAGTAAATATGTATTTCCTGTTTCTACTAAGAGCTTGGATTATTTCAGTTTAGTTATTATTTTATAGAACTATACTTACATGTTACAAAGAGGTGCATCATATCCCCTTTTGATTTGTTCCAATTTGTAGTCGTAGCCTATCTTGAACAGGGTTCTCTGAATATAGTTCATCTCTTGAACTTTACTCATTACATTTTTATAAATTCTGTCCATTATTTCCTACAAAGGGTTGAGAAAGACAAGGAGAATTACAACAAAGAATCTCTGCCACATAGACATCTTCATCAACAGTGGCTACAAATTCTGGGGTAATGTGCTATGGTGTAGTAATACTTGCTGTGCTGATACTGTGCTTACATTATCAAGAACACTTTAACCCGTACTTAGGATATGATAAACTGGATTACAAAAATCCTGCATTCAGATTTATCTAAATGGCTCTGTGAAAGGTTGGTAAGTGCCATGCCAGAACAGCTACTCTTAGGAATCTTGGTGCTTTATCCACGGCAGCTGGCAAATGCAAGGGTATGAGCTAAGAGATTCCATTTCACCACTTCCTTTTTCAAGAGAAGTCTTTCAACTTCCAAAGCAACATGGTTGCGGTAATTCTAGTTACCTGACAAAAGAAACCCCACAATTCAGTCACAGGCAAGTTATAAGAGGACACAATATTCATTTCAATTGAATATAATCACTAACTGATACAGAACTTAAAGGAGCCAGTCCATCAATGTCCATTAAATACTTCACCGGTCTGAATGTTAACTTTTATTTCATAAGGCAGTGCTCTGTAACAGTGGTATGCTTTATATCAAGAATCAAATCATGGAGATCAGCTGAAAATAAAGCCATGACAATTACTTATTTTGAAATATCAAAGAGATCAAAATATTAAAGTCTTCATAGAAACTGCTCTTTTTCTTTTCACTAGTCCCTCAGATCTTCACATCCTGGATTTACACAGATGAGCACTTTAAAAAAAGAAACCTACTACTTGCAGCCCTGTTTAGCTACAAAATATCTGATGTCTCTAAAAGACAAATTCTGGAAGGCAAAGTAAGATTAATTGTAGCTTTTTGAAAGGACTAGTGATACACAAAGTATTTAGAATTAAAGGCTGAAAGGAACCACTAACAGCTGCTAAAACTTCTGTTAGAGACAAATATTTATAAATATTTGTGTCTTTGGCTTCTATTACAGTTATTTTCTACTTTATTCCTTATATAGTAATAATAATAGTAACAATATTGGGCTCTGAAGATAAAAGCAGGATCGTAGTTCTAGGGGAAAAAAAATCTTACTAGGTAGTTTTATTTATTAGACTTACATGGCATTTACCTCTGCCTGCATAACTTCCTTCTCATACGTTTTCAGGTCGCCTGTATTTTAGACTGTTTCCAGATAGTTACATTCTCACTGATGGCGTGCAGGTCCTTCCTGTGTAATAACCTAACTTTATAGGCCGGTGTTGTATACAACAAATGTAAATCAGCCCTCTCAGGCCTTAAAAGTTATTGTGCTGGTAAGAATGTTGTTCATATGGGGGTTTTCTGAAGTGTATGGATTAAGCCCCTTCCCCTCCATGTAAACTGCTAAACTCCAGGTCATCTCTGCTATCCAATTACAAATGTACCACCTGTATCAAATATTTTTCCTCTATTAGCTTTTTTGTGGTAGGCCTGTAGAGCCAAGATATTTGGGGAGTTTCTTCAAAGTGCTTCAGCATTGTCACTATTCTCACTTCATGGCTAATTTATATGAAATTGTCTGCATGGACTTTCTTTTTTGATTTTTGCACATATAAACCAATATTTCTTTTCAGAATAGATTATGCCATATTTAAAACTTACCATTTCTACTAGCACTCTAATATGGAGCTGGCCTGAGGTTATTTTCCACAGGAAATAACTAAGTGGCTAGACCACTACGAAGAGCAGAGAGCCTTGGGCTAAGTTTTACTTTGCGGTGAGACAGGCCACCACGACGGCAGCTCAGCTCAGCCACGTGCTCATAGGCTTGGACATCTGTGTTAACCAAAGCCACCCGCTGCCTCCTCTGCAGAAAGAGCTTTCAGGCAGTGAGTGGCCAAGACTTTCTGTATCCTACTATTACATTTATAGTCTAGTAAACTATCATGAAGAATTGACAGTTATGGATCAAAATGAGTCTTGACTTTGGGATATGTGTATTGTTGTGCTCATGTCTGCAGCATCGGTACTCTGCCTTAAGTATCAATAACTGAAATTTCTGTGTTCTGCTTTTTTGCCCATTGAAGTGACTACTTCTTAAGCAAGGAAAGAAAACATGTTAGTAAATGTTTTTTGCTAGTATGAACAAGATGGAAAGCACCTTTTTTTGACAAACATATCACCAGTTTTCCTGTACTTACAGGTACAGCTGCCATCAGTGTGGGCTTTAGTACAGTACAGTCTCCTTTACTTCCCTTCTTAATTTTACTTGACTGGAATAAAGAAAATAAAATGTAAGTTCACAAAACCAGAAAGAAGCAATTCTTCAGAAGATGAGTAAAATTAACAGGGAGATGAACTACCATGTAATTCATGCAGGTCTCCTCCCATGCCCTTCCAAACAGCATTTCTGAACAATTCTTTTCATTCATTATGATAGGAAAAGCATCGATTAAAAAAACATTTTAACCAAAATATCAGCCCAACCTGATAAAGCAATTCTACCTTTTAGGTCTTTTATTTCACTCATAGCACTAGATTCCATCTCTATTTTCTTTTAGCAGTTTGTCTATTGTAATGCAATTGTAATTTGTAAACCAGCAAAACAGACAGCAACCTTCTCCAACAGTAATTTGCTTTCATTTATCGTATCTGTTAACCTAAAAACTGCAAAGAACCAAACAGAAGATGTGTAGTAACTGAAGAACTGATATTATGTGTGTCTAGAAACTTAAAATCATTACAGGCACTCTTACATTCAGTCTATGAACAGCTGTTCCATCTCCTGATGTCCCACTGGATAATGCTATAGCATTTGTTAGGTTTTCTTTTAGACATAAGTATCGTAATTGCAAAGATTTTAATAAAATGTTACATGTTATGATCTGCTGCTGTAGTTTCAGCAGGTGTAGGAGTGCTTAAGTTTGCTTAGTTTTCCCTTACCTGATCTGACAGCGTGAGTGGAGAGGAATACCCAATCCTGCAGCCGTAAGTAACGCAAGATATTTCTGCTGTCAATTCTAACACATGGGCCAGAGGCAAATAGCCAATATAGGTATCCTTGGGCCTAGTAAAAGAAAAGATTAGCTGATTAACAGTGATGCAAAACTGGATTTAAAATGCTGTTCAGTACTTTGGTGTACTACTTGTACTACTACTTGAAAGACTTAAATCACAAGTCTTTTGCCTCAAGGAAGGGTATGAGCATAAAAGGCTGACCATAAACTAAATGGGTAAAATGCTCCCTGACTGAAAGCAGTGCCTGTGAATTCCAGGTTTGCCTTGTTTTCTAGGAAGCTGAATGTTTCTCTAGTGCTTAACAGCCACTTCTCATGGGAGATTTTATCCCAGTTACCAAGTTAAGACTAAAATTGTTTTTTACTTTAAAACAGTCCTACAGTCACAGTAGTATCTCCTTCTAAAACGGAAAGGGAACTGGTCAGTAGCACACTGAGACTGATTCCAGGAAAAACAGAGGTCTCTCGGGAAGAAACTTAGATCTGTCAGTTACAGAAATTTGCAGCATCACTTCCAAACTGCCCTTACAGCCCATCACAAAGCTATTACAACTCTTCCATCCTTAATGGATGCAAGGCCAACGTATCTCCTATACATTGCTGTGTGACTACTCAGGCTTTCTTACCCCAGCCCAGGTATCCTCTCGCACTGTCCGGTCATTCCAGCTATCAAGTTTTTGTGCATCATCATCACTCCTTTAGGTCTCCCAGTGGAGCCGCTCGTGTACATGACTAACGCCAAGTCTGTCGGAACAGGCCTGCTTGGCAGAACGCTTACTACAGAAAGCAAGAGAAAGAGCATGTTAATTGTTATGTACTTTCTACATTGCTTTTTCTGTAATTAACCAATAGGAAAGTGTCTGTAAGGAATAAGTACTGAGGCACTTAATGCAAGACAACACAATCTGCATGATACTTCTGCCCTCATGTTTTACAGTTGACTAGAAGTTTCATAGAAAAACCTGGTGAAGGGATGTGAAAGGTGGTGAATGAGAGAGGTGAGTTACTGGAAGGGAAACAAAGGAGTTTAAAAATGAAGCCAAGATGTTGCTGCTTCCTGGTTAACTTTTCCATCATTCATTGTTCCAGAGCCCAGCTTACATGACTGAAGTAGTTTGATGGTTTTGTATATGTTCTTCATCTTATAATTGAACCTTCTTCAATTAAGTTGCTAAACAGGAGAAAAATAGCAAACTTAAAATAGTTTATTACTGATTTTTATTTTAATCCTTTTGCATTTATTTTGTCCACTGTAATGATGAAAATTTTTTGGCTTTTATGACTTTTACAGCTAGAGGAGCAACAGAGCGGCTGAAAGGAAGCAAAGTCAGGGATTTTCAATAAAACCTTCAAGTTAGCTGTCGGTCTGTATCAACTCTTTAATCTGGCCCATATGGCATCAGATTTTCCTTACTTCCTAAAATAAAAACAATGAGGTATTCTCATCATGTTTTATGAGTTAAAAATAAGGTTTTATTTTGAAGTACTTGAACAAAAACACAGGACAATAAATAGGGATTAAACAAGCATTTCTAGTTTTCTGCTTATTTAAAGGAAACCATAGAGACTTGCATGATTTTTCTTTCCTGCTGAACCATTTTAACCTACCTCTGATTTCATCATTATAGTGCTTGATAAGTTCCCGAAGAATTGATTCACTTACTGTGCTCGGGTTTGGCTCCCAGCTCTTCTACTGTTTGCATGCTATGAATCTGCAAGTTTTCAGGGTATTCTGATTTATTGATAGTCTTCTTATCCACATAAATGATATGTTTAAGACAGGAGACTTCTGTCAATGCAGTCTAAGAAACAGAAAGGGAATTTTTAGCACTGACTGCACTGTAATAGTGCTGTGTTGTTTGAGAATGGGTGAAGCTGGTGACAGAGTTACCTAAAGTTACAGGGAATGTTATCTTACCTTAAGTTTGCTCTCAAGAAGTTCTGCACTGGTGATCAGATATGATGCCCCACATTCATTGAGACCGTAGGTTACTGCATCTTCACCCAGGGTGGCATATAAAGTAACAACTGTTACATTAAATGAGAAAGAAAAAGAAATAAGTTAAAAAAGTAATACTATGCAAAGATTTTTGCTTTAGCTCAATGAAAAGCAGTGTAGGAAACAAAAAAAGACAAGAAAAAAAAAAAGAAAGAAAATGGGCGTTTTGAGAGTCTGATTAGAAAATAAATTGTTTCATCTTACTACATCAGAATTTTATCCCCCAAGAGACCTCTGGAATGAGGAGGACAGTTTCATGGAAGAGGAAAGTCATCAGAACAACACTAACAATACAAAAAAAAAAATCCTCCAAAATCCAGCAAAAAAGCACTAAGCAGTTGCACAATGAGCAGCTGAGAACATCTGGGACCTTTGGGCGAGTTCTCTGCAGCCAGAACTCGGGGGAGAGGAGACGCTGCTGCAATGAGCGCAGGACCCCGTGCAGCTCGGGGCTTAGGCAGCAGCCGGCAGCAGGGCTGGCGCTCACAGCGCCGCGCTGGCCGCTTTGCTCATCCCAGTGCTGTTAGGGATGGGGGCAAAGGCAGAGAATCACACAGATATCCTCAACTGCTTTTTACATTGCTAGATTATTTTTAACCCTGATCAGCTACAGTGAAACTGTAAGTGCCTCACACGCACTGAGGAGTGCACCCTTTCCAACCATCTGTGTTGAAAAAAAAGTAGCTTCTTCTAGTGTCATACTTCTATTTTAAATGCTGACCTCCAAATAAACATTAAAGGAAACATTTCTGTGAAAGGGAGATCATGTGGAGGGCCAAAAAGAGGGTAATGTGATAGAGCTGCTATGAGGAGGACCTCATCCTGTTTCAACCGCAGCATCGGCTTTTATGTTACTGCCCTTTAGCAGCCCCGTGCGAACTCCATTCAGTCCCCGCCCTCTCGTGCGCCAGCTGCTGCCAACACTGAGAGAAACTGGGCAGCCTGCTGCGAGCAAAGCTGTAAGGAAGGCAACAGCAAGAACTCCAGCTCCCAACGCGCTGCACAGGTAGCTGGCATGCACACATGCAGCATTCCCTCAGCGTGGCACCAGCAACCTACTGTGCACTACCTCAGACCCCCCAGGAGTGCCTAATTAAAGAAATAAAAAGTCATACTGCAAAGAATGTGAGGCCCTTAAAGTTCATAAGAAAGCCCTGAAGCTACCATATGATGTTGGCTTTCTAAAAAGAATAATTATTTCCAAAAGCTACTCTCCGTTTCAGATGTGGAAGTCATGATACAGAAAGAAAACATTAAAAACACATTCCACAGTTTGTGGGGAAAATGCAATTACTGACAACTTAAAAGTGCTTTTATGACCACTTTCCTATCTATTCTAGTATCTAAACTATGATTAAAAAAAAAAAACTAGCTGCAGAGTAAGTTTATTTAATCCTTATACCATTAAAGACACTTTCAAATACTTAACAGCTAAACCAGTGCTGAGAAGTGTTTCTAAAATAAATGAAACATAAGCACGTTCATCACTCACGAGGGAAGTTGTACTTGAAGCAGGCTAGTGCTGCGATCATCCATTCTGCTCGGGTCTCACAGAAGATGACCACGGTGCTGCGGGGCGTCAGGCCGAGCGCCGCCAGGCCGCTCCCCAGGTGATTCGCTTTCTGATTGACCTCTTCATACGATAACCATTTGTAAGTCCCTAAGATTAACTGATGAAAAAAACCACGTTTTGTGATGATAAGGAGCTGTTGTGATGTTAACGCAAAACACTACTGCAGTTCTTGAAATTAAAAAAAAAACTTTTCATTTTTCTTGTAGTAGTACATACAGTAGCGTGTTATTCTTGAAATACTATAAAATGTATTATATAATACCACAAAATGAAGAAGAAAAGTTGAAGGAAGAACGCACGCCCTTCTCCCTCCTTCCCCATAAACCGACTATGGCTGAAGTAAGAGCCAGGACAACTCCAAACCCGCTCAGAACGCAGAGGGAAACATTTTACCTTTTTAAATACTTTTCCATTTGGCTGCATTTCGTTTTCTTCACTCAGTATTTCCCTGGTGCCCAGGCAGTCCTTCTTGGCGAACCTGGCTAACGCGTGGTCGAAGAGCTTGTCCAGTGTGTCTGCCCCGGGGATGTTGATGTGTGCGAGTGAGTCGAGATGCGCGACAGACCGGTAGGGGCTTCCGGGCTTGTCCGACACCGGTTTAGCTTTTAAACGCTTTGCCATAGCCTTTTTCTTCTTGGCGTTGGTAAGAAAATACCATGGAATAAATACAAGCATACTGTACAAAGATATCAACACGTACACAGGCAGCAGGAGAAGGGCACACACTTCTAGCCTAAGTTTCATTGTGAATTAAAAAAAAACAAAGTCTCTTATTGTGTTCTGAGGGCCTGGGCTCTGAAGAAGGCAAGAACGAAGCAGCGGTGCAGGACGGTGGGAAAGAGCAACAGTAAGGGAAGCGTAGGCAGCTTTACTTCTAAGCAGCAGCTAAAGTTTTAGTAACCTTTGAGAGCCGACAGTGGACACCTGTGGGTGAAGACCAGAGCCAAGCAGAGAGCAGGAAAAAAGAAAAAAAAAAGAATTTAATTAGTAATATTATAATCAATCCATTAGTTTCAGTCCTTTAAGATTTCACCTCACCTGCATCACGACAAAGACGACTGAAGCAGCTGGACTGGGAGCTGCGTGATATAACAGCCCACTGTTCTGCAGATTAAAGAATCTTTTCCATGCTTGTTTCTTGCATCTACAAATATTTACTTTTCAGAGTCTTTTCCACATTATCTCTGCGTGAGTAGCTCAGGGCTGGTGAGGTGAAGTCTGTCCTTCACATCATAATATTGTGTTTAAGCTACTTGAGTAACACCACAATTGCATAACTTGGGACAAGGGTCAGCAGTTTTCTTTCAATCCTAATATTTGTATTACGATGGGAAGGTAGAATAGGTTTCTTTGCTGCCTTGAAGAATGCTGTATCGAGTTTATTCAAATTTGTGCTTTCACAGAGACTCCTCAAAAAATCTACGTGTTAGAATCTAAAACACATAATATCCCCACATTCCTTTATTCAGCAACTGAATTTTTAATTTGCAACCAGTCTTTCCAAGGAGGAATGCCAAACTTTAGAAGGTATTACACAGCTTTCTCTCTACCCTTGTCCACAAAGCTACTCCTACATATTCCTTTCAGGACTCCAGATGTAGAAAAATGGAATCCAATCTAATCGCTTTAATCCAAATTTAAGTAGAGCCAGCTTTAGCAAGATGTTGCCCAACGTGCACCCGGAGCCAGGAACAGCCAAGGTGCAGCAGTGACGGAGGGAGTCACGCGGGCTCACTGGTAGCAAAGCCCCATCTTTTAGGGGCAGAACATGATGAAGAGAAGGGCTGGAAACGGGAGTGCCGCTGGAGCCCCACAAGCAGTGCCGCGGGCGGCTCACCCGGCACGGCGCCCGCACTTCCATGGCGGCCTGCGGGCATGAGGGAGGCGGCAGGCAAGGAGCCAGGCAGGCAAGGCCACTGCCGCTGTTTGCTTCTCTGTGAGAATTGCAACATCTGCAGCCGCGTGTAGCCAATACCAGCACCATTTAGGGTAATCTGAGATTGACAGAGCTGCGAATTCAAATTACCTGATGAATGTGGTGAATTTTTAATTAAATCTGTGGAATAAAATTGCTACGTAACTGCTATGTCATGTACAAAAACTAAATTCAGACTTCTCCAGAAGGAGGGGAAAAAAAAAAAAAAAAAAAAAAAAAAAGATGTTCTGGGTATTTCTCTTTTTATAAAGTTAATGCTTTCTTCTTTTCAGAATTGATTCTGCTTTAGTTAACCTCTTCATCACGAGTGTATGGCTCAGCAAATAGTTAAATTGCAGCATAGGAGAAAACATTTTATTTCCCTAAGCTTCAGTTTTCTAAAATGAAGGTCACTGATTTATATTACAAATCTTGCACGACAGTTTCATCCCAGTTATTTCAGGGCTGCTAAAGAAGCAGTCAAGCCCATATGTAAAACAAAAGCCAGCTATAGTGCTATGACTAGTTAAGAACTGCAGTGCATAACACCATGATTAGACATGATGTGTGTGAAAATAAACACCAAAGAGAGAAGTCTCTCTGCTGCTCACACAGGGACAGCACAGCAGCAAGCCCAGCCACCTGGACAGAAACCAGACTTGTTGGGCTATGCAGACAATTTAACAATGAGACAGGGCCAGGTCTTTTATTTTGGCTGAGTAGCAGTTTTTCCACAAGTAGCCCCAATGAAATCACATTTAATGCTTGAAGTAAGTGCATGTACAGACACACTCTGTGCACACCAGCTTTTATATTAAAGTTCGTATAAGCTAAAGTTAAGGTCTAATTTCTGATATTTTGAAGTTTCAGATTACTTCTAACTACTTCAAAAAGAATTTCTAAACAGATAACACAACTAATCTGTATGCAGATGTGGTGTCTCAAAAGGCTTCTATTTCAACAAAAATCAACAGGAAAACTTAATAGAAATCATCTGGAAAGACTTGGTAAGTTATAAACAATAACATACACTCAAGATTTTCCTTTGAACATTTTCATATGAAAACACACACACACACACACACATATATACACATACATATACTTACAAGATATCTGGCAGTGATGATCAAGTTTTAGTCAATCTCAATAAGATCTATATTAAAATATATAAAAAAAAAGTATTAGTGATTGGCTATTTTCTTTTTGGCCCTGCAAAAAGGAAGTTAAGCAGGAAAGCCCAACTTGCAGTGCTTTCCAAAATGCCCACACGATGCTCCTGAAGAGCCTCTCCGTTTAGCCAGTGGTGGCATGTGCTTGCTGCTCTGGAGGAGAGCACTGATTGATTATTGAAAAACTTGCAAACTACACTATGCAAATAAAAATGAAGCTACACAAAAGATGTTTAATTTTGATGCGAATGATTAATATGGATATGGAAATACAAGAATTTACAAAAACACTTGCCAAATAAAATATTTATTGTATTTTTAAATATAGCACACAAAAGCCTGACCTATAGAACTTGCCAAAATACCTAGATACCGAGATCCCAATTTCATTTGGCTATAAGCCACACTTAGCTACTCAAATTACCTCCTTTGCCTTCAACATCTCTTTCAAGTTTAATTAGTCTTTGAAAGAAGGAACAAGAGGGGCAACGTTCGTACAGATGCAGGGCCAAAGATACCTTCAAGGCCAGCCAGGTATGGGCTACTGCCACAGCACAGCAGCCACTGCTGGGAAACTCCCTCTTTCCTCCCAAGGAAGCACAGCTTACGCATCGTAAAAATCACTCTCAAAATAAAGCTGTGTTCTAACACTGGAAAATTCTAAACACACATTTAATATCAACATACAAAGTTTATCATTTTTCTTAATTGTGCAACATAAATATTTGGCAGCTTATCTATTTGCTTTGGTAACAGCAGAGCTCCCAGTTCCTGATGTAAGAAATGCATGTTCCCAGCAATAGCAATCAATGCGCGTCATGCACCAATACAGCCTTAAAAAAGTAACAGATGTAGTTTCTATCTTTTGATAACTGTGGTTGAAGTATTTCCAAAGGGTCTTCCTCGAGTGAGTAAGCGTCTTTATCCAGTTTTGAAATGGTGACTCTCTAGCCCAGAGGTCATTTACCATTTGCACGGATGTGTACAGCACACGGACCAGAGATCGCACGCAGGAGCTGGTAACATTTTCCCTATTCCGGGTACACACTAGCTGTTTACAGAAACACTGCAGGCCAGGTTTGCAGTGGAAGACAAACGACTGACGCGGGTGCTCACAGGGAGCAGCGCTGCACAGGCACTCCGGCGCACTCCGACACGCTCAGCTCAAAGCTTCGGACACGGGGTAAAATGCAGCCCTTCATTCCCACCCAGCAGCCAGGCGGCTGCTGTCACCGCCTTCCCCCCCACTGAGTAGTTCGGAATCAGAGCACAGGTTTGGGAACACAAGGGACGGCCCTGATTTAGTAATTTTTCATGAATTTATGATAACACATGGAATAAGTGGCAGGTATTCAAATTTATTTTACGAAAATAGCTTTTAAGTAAGCACAAGCTTTCGTGACTATTAAAAGTGGTTCCTATCTCTGGAAGTAGCTGTTCACAGAGGAGGAAGTGCCCTTATCTTCTCTGCACTTAAATTCTGACATACAGAACCACCTAAGCCAGCATTTGTAGACCCCACTGGCATTTCTAAGTGTAACCTAAATCCAAAGAAAGAGGCATTGAAATTATTATCTTGAAGAGAAGAAGCTTTAATAACAGAAGGGCCAAATCACTGTTAGGGTTTAATACCAAAGGATATGGAGAACAGTGTTTCCTGTTCTTCCTCTTCCAACCTTGCTAGCGAACCAATTTACTATAAAATAGCACAATGGGAAGAAAACTTTTATTTACAAACCACTTCAAATGTTACTTGCAACTTTTTGAATTAACAAATTCTTCTACTTAAAGAGATGACATAAGCAGAAAAGGGAAGTATCCTAGATGGAAAAAGAACAAATGGAATCTGCAAAGTGAGAGGCAGATCAGTTGAGACTAAACACCCGTGGAGGAAATCCTGGTTCCCCTGTGACTGTGCTCTTGTGAACTTCAAATGGAGCCACAATTCTGCCTTTAGCACAAATACTCAGGGCCAACTCCTTTCCGGAAGCACTTAAATCTTCCAAAATAGCCCAGACTGAATAAGCCACAACTGTATCTGCCATTTCTCTGGAAATCCTAGGAAGCATTTCAAAATTTAGAAGTGAAAAGGTTGTTCTACAGAAAAAAAAGGAAAGTGACTACACCTAAGTAAACAGGGTGGTTATTAATTATGGTTAATTTTTGGGGTTATTAATTATGGTTAATTTTTGGAGGGGAATTTAATCAGTATTTACCCATTGTGAATCTGCCTCAGTCTTAGAACCAAAGAACTTTAGTATTTTAAAATGAAAATAACAGAAAGAATAAGAAATACCGCATGGTCAGAAAGCAGCAGCAAGTCTAAACACAACTGAGAGACAAATGCATACTACATGGTTTTCCACAAATTTTTATTATCCCAGTTTATATCTGTCCCATACAAGAAAGAAAGAACATTTCTACAGATAAGAAAGCTGTGATTAAATAATCACAGAAGCTGGAAGAATCTTGTGGCTAATTGCAGCTCCTTAGGGACTGGAAGTGTTAAGAGAAAAAAAAAGCACTAAAGGAACGCTAAGGGAAATGATTCAGTGTTTAAGTCATATCAGTGTTTTTCTAAAAACAAACTGCCAATTTTAATGCAACTTATTCAAGGTAGAAGAAGGAGTACAGAAGGTCCCAATTTTTGTTCTTTTCGCACAGATTTCTACATATTTTCCTCTTGCACAATTTTGTACATCAGAGGGCAGTGAAAAGCTTCAGAGCAACCTGCTCCACACTGGCAGGTTTCAGTACTTCTGTGCTCCACTAGTGGCTCAAAAGCCTAAGAGTTTTCAAGAGCCGTTATATCTGGACAGTATAAATGCTAGCACCAATGTCCCAATAAATGGAAGGAGGGGGAAGCCAGAAGCAGTGTGCAAAGCTCCTTTTAAAATAGCAACACGCTGATTTGTTTCTCTTAATGTTACTTAAAAAAAACCCTAAATTATAATAAGGATCACATTTATTTTTGATTTCAAGAACGATACTGTTTTATTGCCTCAGGACACCTATGTACTTAATGTCAAACAAAAAATCTAATTTTTTGAAGTGTCAAGTGCCGCATTTATTGCTGCAACCTCCAGCGTTATGGTAATGAAAACCACTCTTATCCTGTATTTTCCCATTATCTAATAGACCGGTGTGAAACTCTCTCCTAATCTTAACATAAGAGCAAGCAAATATTTGGTGAAAGGATAAGACCTGTTTGTGTGCCCCAAAGGCAAAAAAAATCTAACAGGCCAAGGCAAGATTTCACAACTGAAAAGTGCGCCTGAGAATCCGCTCAACTGGGAAAGTATTTCCTCTAGACAGAGCCCGGCGGCCCTCGCCTCATTAAATCCTATCCAGCCTGGAAGCTGTAAATACCTTGGGCTCATTCACTCTAACACTTTCTCTCTCACAAGCCTCCACTCCACCTGTGCTGGTCAAGCTTCATCTGATGAAGAGACTGGGACACACAGGTTTAAAGACAATTCAGAATATACAATGGTACTGTGAATACTAAAGTTCATAATAACTGTAACAAATTCAGCTGCTGTTTAAACATGTATTTGTGGTAAAGAAGCAAGAGGCATCCTTTTGTCTCCCTGGCTTCTTTGTTAATAGAAGTGAAGAGGGTAAGTGAACAGAGGAGAATATTTCAGAAGAGGAAATTCTAAACTGTCAAACGCTCAACTGAAAAAAATATTGATACTATTTCAAACTCACACTGCAAAACACACTCTAAGGACTACAAAAAATAAAGTCAAAAGGAAAAGCACATACTTCAAACTAATAAAGAAGTATTTCAGCCCAATTTAACCTCTCTCCAGAACACACCCTAACCAGATCAGGCATTACAACACATGTCGCTCTTACTGCAATATTTTAAACAGCAAAACTACATGACTATACTCTTTTACCCAATTTAAAAATGAAAAGACACATAAAAAGGCAAACAGTATAATCAAGACGAATTTTTAGAGGATGTTGTTGCCATGAAAGTTCTCCAGCAAAAGCTGTGTAAACAGTCTATCAAGATTCGATGATCGCTTTCTGCCCTTATGTTACACAGAATGAGTAGACTGGCAAGTTCTGCATTTGTGTTTGCTGTGCAAGCATTTGTTGCAACTTATGTGGCTCTGAAGAGCCTATTAGATTTAAATTGTCCTCATCTTTTCATTTTCTGCTTGGCAGTAAACTGCTTTGCAAAAATAAAAATCTACACAGGTTAGCAGACTTTACCTATGATTGTTGAATGATACAGTTTGGAAGATCAAATCCACCTGAGATCTACAAACGTAGCCCAGATCATTATTTTCTCTGTCTTCTATACTTTGTTTGTTGCTGGAGAGTTCAGGCCAAACCAAACAAGAAGCACTGCACCTCTGTCAAGTAATTCCCTATCTATAACAAACACACAAGACCATACAGGAGTGAATGGTAAATTTCTACTAAAAAGAACTTAATGCATTAAACAGAGGAAAAAAAAAAAAAAGAATAAAAAGTTCGTCATTTGTTTCCCCACCAGTTACATGTAAGTATTGTGCTTCTAATTTCTTTATTTTATTAAGCATTCATTTTTGTGTTCAATTTATTGCCAATATTGGGAACATATGCATGTACACAGGGCATTCAAGAGCCAGCATGCTCTCTTTCAAGTTATTAACCTACGCTTACGATAATCATTTCAGCAACATCCTTTTACAATGTAAGGAGGGGATGACATTTCATTCCTTTTGTTTTGTAAGTAAAAAATAAGGAATACAGCAAGTAATCTTCATGAGTGAAGGTTTTTTAAACTTTTCCTAGAGACAACATATTTACGTTTATGCCTGCTGGACATCAGGGCTTCACTGAATCTTGGAGCGCGTGCATTCAGGTTAAAGACTGATCAAGTCATGGCACAGGTTTGGATAATGCTAATGAAGTTTTACTCAGCAAGCCAAAAAATCATTAATGATATTACCCTAGCTCTATAGGTTAAATATTAACACTTATTTCCTGGCTTCAAGTACAGTATGTTACCAGACATCTGTGCAGTCTGGTAACTAGAAGGAACTGTAAATACTTCTGTGATAATGCGTAAGAAATGCTTGAAGTAAACTGCCATTTCCCAATATAAAGTAAAATAGCAACATTGCTGTGTTACTGCATAAGAGCAGTTAGGAGAAAGTAAGCAAGGAATCATTCTGTTTCAAACATCATTCAGCAAAAAGTCATTTGACTAAAGCTCAGTAAGTCTAGGAGACCAGGACTTAAAAGCCGTTTCCTGTATTTATAAGTTCCCTGAAATTTCCCAGCCTTGTTCTGGAATAACCTTTTGGTGGAAGGAGTAACTCAAAGAGCAGAATATTGAAGTGCCTAAACACAAGCTCAGTCTGCCAGCCAAGCAAGAAACGTAATGACAGATATCATGGTAATTCTCTCCTAATGTCCTCTTAAAAGATTTCAGTATAATTACCTTACATTCTGTTGACACCTATATACAGTGATGCACTTCTCTCTTTACTGTCAGATTACATACTTTTACAAGTACGTACTTGCCAACACAACTGCTGGGTAATTTACGAGAGACTAGCATCCTAGTTTCTGTACTACTTCAGAAAACCACTGTCTATTCAACATTCATGTTGGCAATAAGTCACCAGGGCCTCCGACACCAGTTTTATATTTACTGGTATTGCTTCCCAAAGACTGCATCTTTCATCGGTGGATGGAGTTTGCTTTCTTTTCCTCAGTTATCACAATTTAGGTTGTGAAACAAAACACATTAAAAAAAAAGAAGTAAAATGTTCCTGATCATGTCCTGATTAGCAACTGAAATATTATTTTTTATGAGGAAGGCCTGCAGGCATAGTCTGCAGATGAACTGTACGGGAACATTAAACCCTGTTGAACTGCAGATCAACTTAGTGAGAGAACTTGGTGATTTTATCCACCATGAGCAAGGGAGATAATACAGGGGATGGCATTTCTACACACCAGGGAGGCAGACTTACTGTCTTACTGTATAATTCTTCAAATTTATGTGCACTCAAAGAAGAAGCAAGATGACCAAAAAAATTTCAGGACATTTTCCCCCATAGCGGTTCTACATGTAAGAGTTTTGCACGCTGTTTTGATCAATTTTCTGAGCAACACAATAGCACCAACACACGAAACCAATGCAAAACAACACAGAATCCAAGATGTTGACGCCAGGATAGGGGATTAAGTTAGAAACCAGCACTTAAAGGATAGTTGTTGTTAAAAAAAAAAAAAAAAAAAAAAAAAGGAAAAACAACCCTCACAACCCTCAGACAGTTTTAAAAAGCATGTTTTTGAACTTTAGAATTCCCCTGAGTCACATTTATCACACTTTATACTGACAGACACAAAAATTCTAGAGAGGTAGGCATTTTTTTTAATGTTCTTAGTCCAACACATCCAAGTAGCTTTTGCAAAACAGCAAGACGACAGGATTGGGTCACAATATCATGTCCAGCTCAAACCTCAGCCAGCACAGAACAAGCCAGCTCTGGCTAACTGTGACTGAAGTTGTGGCAACATGTCCTACCTCTCAGCAAAGTTTATTAGCACAGGATAGCTGTGCACTAACACAGCTAGGCAGCTTCTTGCAAGGGATTTATTCAAGTTCTGCCAGTTCAGAATACATTACAAAGTACGTGTGGCCATTTCCAACAGATCTCACGTAGCTGAAACTCAAGTGGCTTGATGGCATGACTTGATATTTAGGTAACTAGATCACTTAAAACATGAATAAAGTACTAGTTAAAGTAGCAACTGTATAATAAGACACTACTTGTGTAGCCCTGGGTTGAACAGTGAAACAGACTCAAGAATTTCGGAAGGAAGCAAGAGGAGGAAACCGACACTACTGAACAAGCTCTCTGTTTGTTTTCAGGAATATCTGCACTCTGAAAAAGGGATAGAAACATCCTTAATATTACGAAGTATATCACAACAGCATGGTGTGGCTTGTAACAAAACCACAGGTTTTTGTTTGCTATTAAATGCAACAGTACTCAAAAAATACCATTAACTAAGAGTACTGCTACACAGTACTGTTATGTTTCTATCAGCTTACCCCTCCCCCCCGCAAGTCTATCAATATTTGGACAGATGGCAATGACAGAAAGAATTCACTGATCACACAGTTCACTGTTTCTGGATTTTAGTAAAAATTTATGTAGGAATGGCCATTCCCTGATTATTAACAATCTGATTACTTACCTTGAATGTAATAACAATTCGAGTGTTTCTAGGTGTGCAACTCAAGAACTTCAGTAGAATCTGAAAAGAAAAATATTCAGTTGTGAAAATTCTAGCCATCTCTTAGGTTATAAACATACCTAAAGAAGCCATACAACCAAGCATTCTCCTGAACAGCAAGATTTGTCAGCTGTTTGTTAGTAACAATGATTTATGCAACTGCAAAATACTGCCTGTTATTCAAAAACATGGAAGAGTGCTCTTGTAGTCAAGCTGAGGTGGTAACACCAGAAACTCATTATCATTCACAGGTGCCATGGTTTTACTTGGGCACCTGGTTCTGTGTGCCTTCAGATGTTTGATTCAGATAATATGCTGGCAAATGCTACGCCTGACAAAAAGATTTAGAGTTACAGCATTATGATGTTATATTCTTAAAATAGTCCCAACTTTAAAGTTTTGGGAAAGTTAACTTTTGTAAACTTATTTACGATAAATCTGTATGTTGCTCTCCAAGTTACATCAACTTTTCATTCCCAGTTTCTTAAAGAAAGGTAAACATAAAAAGCAGTAGGTACATACTATTGAAAAATAAATTACACTGTTTTGTCCGCCTGAAGAACAATTCTGCAAAAGAACAGCCTAAGATAACCAACCTTACCCACTCCTGCCTTTTCAGAGAACAAGGTATTATATGACTCACTTAGCATTTGCATCCAATGTGCAGGCACAAAGCAGGATTCAGAAAGGTAGAAGAGCAAGCATCAAAACATTTGGTGTGTTAATAAAATCTTGTAGCTTAGGTATAATAGTAAAACAGACCATGTAAGTACCATATATTCAAGCCCATACTCCAAAATTTGCAATTCAACAACCGTCAGAGCTACAAGCACTTTTACGTAACAACAGTGAGAGAAAGACTCCCCAAGGCCCTGATGGCTCCCACCACCATCACCTTCTTTCTTTCTCCTTACTTCATCTCAGACAGATTTACTGCAAAATAACTGAGGAGTCATTTCCAAACACCAGTAATTTTTGGGTGGGTGTGGGTTATATCTGAATAACTGCTGCATTTTTAACAGTAGGAGGAAGAAAGTGTGTGAAACAGGTCACAATCTTTCTCGTTAAGTGATACGTTCTGAAGAGTCTTGAACTTATTTCTGATCCTCTGCATGTATTTTCAGTCATCAAACCATCTGAGAATATCCATATAACTTGAGTACTTTCAACCCCATAGTGTCAAAAGATAGACAGCATGTGATACAAGCAGCATGTCCTTGGTTTTCTAGGGCACAGACTTCCTAATGTTCCTATTTCAGTGCCCATTTTCTCAATATGTTTTTAATTTAAGAGGAGGAAGCTTTGTTTCAACTTCCAGTTGTTCCTCTTCCCTGTGGGGATGGATTTAAAGTGCTTTTGCCCAAGTTGTTTAACTCAGCTGAGCTCTTAAAAATGCACAATTTGCATGCTTATGGAAGAAACAGAACATACATTTTCATAATGAAAATTAAACACAAATACTTCCACCTAAGAAAAGCATGAAAATAAATTGTATACACAGCTGCCTTTATGGAAAGTGATGTGTAAAATGACAAACTAGTGGGTCACCAGGAACAGGCAGGGGAAAGGAACCCTTCCTACTTCTCCAGCTGGTGCAAAAAGACCACAGGTACCACAAACTAACATCTCTTACTACTTTTGCATCTTCCCTTTCTTTTGTTGTATCGCTTTACTACTATTCCACATTACCACTAGTCACAGAAGCTTTACTCTCTGATTTTATATATTTAGCATTCAAAACTATGGAAAAGTGTTGAAAACTGCATTTTACCTACATATCATTGTGATTCTTTTAGCAGGCAGGCTTTCATTATGATTAAAACGTATTCAAACTTACATAGAGAAATGTTTAGATGATTTTAACACCATAAATGGTATTTTAAACAAAGGAAGTTTTAAGATATACACAACTTCAGCAAATTACGTTATAGGATTGGCATAAACGTGAGCTCAGTAAAATGGAGACTCCCAACACATTAATGAAAACAGTGCAATAACCAACAGTGCTGGTTCTCTAATAGTTTTCAGGTGCAGGTTCATGGCAGACAATTCAATCCAAATCTGGACTGCTGCTAGCCCACTTTCACTCTTTATCAGGCTACAAATTTTGCAGCAAGCCAAATCAATGACTTTTCTGGGTTTTTTTGGGGCAATATTTTTAAGTCACGTAAGTTTTCTGAAATAGCTCCAGCTGACATGGAATTATTTGTACTTTTACACATAGCTCTGCAAGCAGTTTAAACCAACATAACATGAAGTTGTTGTTGAAGGAAGCAGCCTCCACCCACTCTGTGCTTCTCCCTGCCTGGCATGAGGAAGGAGAGCAGCGCTACCCCCAGCTCCCACGGGCTTAGGGCACTTGTGGAAGCAGCGTGCTAGGGAGGGAAAAGACACCCTCGCACAGGAAGCTCTAGTTATCACCATCACAATCATCTTTATTAGAAAAGAGATGCCCAGATGCAAACACTGAAATGTCATATTAAAATTCTATTTATAACCTAATTTTATGTAATCCAAATCCATAAACATGTGTAACTTGTTATCTATTGGAGGTCATGAGTTAATAATTATCCTAATCAAAAGAGGTTGTCTGCTGCTGCAGAAAAATGCCCAGCAGCTGGCTACTGAATTAAGAGTTTAAGATATGAAAAGGCAGCCTTCATTCATAAATTTTTGGTGTTTGGCTATGAACCAAAATCCAGTGAGCACTGAAAATTTCCAGCATCTCTACTTACTTAACTAGCATATTTGATGTGGTGATTTGCAATATCTCTATTCCAAGATAAAAATATCAGTTAAGAACAGCCTACTGGGCATTCTACTTGCCAAGAACTTGAGGTAATCTTAAAATAATATAATCTTTTCAGAAATTATCATCTGTATAGCCAACTGGATAGCATACAACTGGAGAGCAGACAACTCATTTCCTGACAGACTGAAGTCCTTGGTGATGCCAGGCTTTGGCAATATGAAATGTTTCACTATCTCTTATTACTTGCATCAATTCGCTGATATATTTGCTGAGCAAATATATCCTCTTATCAGCAAGCACCACAATAATATCTCCTTGTAATCTTACCACTAGCTTCACCTCACCCCACAAGCTCAGCAGTGCATTAATGGCAGCACTCCTGCAACAAATGTGTATAGAAGAGTGAATTACAGCATTTTGCAAAGCATGTGCTGTCCTGAAGCAAGGAATCTCCATGTCTCAGCAAAGCAGCCCATATAAAATTTTCTGATACAGGAATCAACAGATGTGTGCACTTGATGCTGTGTCTGGCACAGTCTTGAGAACAGAGGTAAAAATCAAAGAAAGAACTGCAGACTCTCACCAGGGCCAAATTAGGCTCTGGTTAGGGGCTGCCTGCAGTAAGCATGGCCCATGCCTCTGATCACAAGGCAGCCAGGATGTAAAGGTAGGAAATCCAGGATCCAAGGTAGGAAATTGAAGAGAATTTGGTAAATAATTTCAGAAAAAGCTGTGGGATATCTCAGTATGGGGCTGTTTATGTCTGTAAGAACATGGAGGGATAGTAAGAAAAAATGCTTGCTCTAGCAAGTTTTGGAAGAAAATTAAGCACAGGTGTTCATTATATTCCTGTTACGATACATAACAAGATTTTCTGGCAGCTATGTAGAAGGTATTGTAGTACACTTATGCTCTTCAGAAGCTACTTTTTATATTTTTTTTTCTTTCCAGCGTCTCTTACATTCTTCTCCAAGAGGCGGGATAGAAAAATAGGGGAAAAAAATGCTTTTAGCAACTACTTATTTTGAACAAAGAAATTCTCTTTGAAATACTCCATTTTTAAGATTAGAACACATTTGGTTCTTCTCTATGCTAATATTTTTCTATTGTCAAGAGAAGAATCCTCTGGCCTGTCCAGATACCCTGTAAGGAATTGTCCTGGCTGTAAACAGGAAATTAAGTGATTTTTTTCACTGTGTTAAGGCTCACAATAAGGAGAGATGATCAAAAAACATATATTGCATGAATTTAGAGCAAGTACAGATCTTTTCAGAGAGAAGAGATCAACACATTAAACTGTTGATACCAATTTCAGAGAAAGCAAGCCACCTTGGGCCACCTATAGGTGTCCTGCTGAGGAAGAGGACATTTTCCCCTTCCACTGAACAACACCTGTGTGTGCAGGGGGGTTGGACTAGATGACCTCTGGAGGTCCCTTCCAACTTTAACCATTCTATGATTCTTCTGATAATTATCTGGCTATCACTTTCATCAGGAGCATCAAGAGCAAAGTGAAGCAGAACATCCAATAGCAGTTCCAGGAACAGACAGAAGAGCATAAGCACAAACAAAGTAAGAGATTCTTCACCACACCAGGGAACTTGCTAATCAGCAGAATGATGGAGACCTTTTTGAGAAAACATCTGCTAATATATCTTTCTCCTAGTGTACTAGCTTTGAGTACACCAAAAGCCCTACACTTCAGAACTGAAATTCCTTGAGGCTGAGGGGGGAGGGCTTCTGTAATTAAATCTGAACTCAAATTACTCTCTTTCGCCCGATCTTGCTCACAACCTTCTCAAAACAAGCCCAGTCAGAACCTGCAGCTTAAGAAGAGTCACAGGGGACACCACTAAGACATTGCTTGCTTCTCAGAATATTCTCTTCCTTCTCTAAAGAAATTGAGTAATTTATTCCTTTGAATGCTTTTCAAAGAGGCTGGTATTTCCTGACTTATCTATCCCTCGCATTTGAAGTGGTTCAGAAGAATCTTACTGTATTAGAGTGTCTTCTTAAGAATTCAAATACCTTTTCTGGATTCTGGCACACTATTCATTGTCTTTTAGAATCCTGAAGAACAGCGAGAAATGCCTAAAGCTACTCTGGATAGATCTGTGAAAACTACACAGGTGATGATGTAACCTGCCTTGGACAAACAGTTCAGTGCCACCATCTCAACTCTGCTATCAGAAAAGAGGAATATTCAGTGGTAAAACTCTGTCCTTATGAATCTCCCTGACCAAGATACTATACTTGCTGAGAAATTTTC